CCAAGGTTCTTTTGTACATTTGGTAGGTATATATTACATATTGGAGTGATGAATATCCTTTGTATAGTGGACTGTTTTAAAATAGTTCATTTGTCAATTGGTATCTATAGTACTCCGTATATTTGCAACTCTATGAGGTTGATCGGTGTACATAACCCCACTCGAGTAAGGGTATTTTATTTTTATTTTTATTATTTTATTATTTCATTTTTCCATTCTGGTTTTTTGAATTTCCCCTTTTGGATTTTCCAATTTTTCAATTTTTCTCAAAATTTCCCACTTTTCCTATTTTGCCCCAGTGTCCCCTTCTTCTCCCCCACATTTGACCTTCCAACCTTGAGAATCTCTGCATTTTATTTTATTTTAATTTTTTATTTGCAATTTTTATTTTAATTCAATTTCAATTTCAATTTTTTGCTTTTTGAACTTGAATTTTTCAGAATTTTCTTTTCTCCAAGTCCGATTCCGACACTGCCCCTTCTCCCCCGATTTATTCCTTCCCCCTCCATTCCCTATATTATTTGTGACTCCCCAGATCGTCGTCTCCAGGTTCCTTTTTTTCCTTCCTTCCCTCTGGCTTTATTCCTCCCCACATACTCTACTCGACTACTTGGTTTTGCAACACAGCGAGCCATCAGCACTCTCTGCGCATCACTCCGATCCCGATCGACCTCATATCCCAATCCGGGTGTTTGATCGACGTTAGCTCGGGACCCCTGCGATAAAACCGCCCTCGGTCCTCTCTTCAGAACAAACCTTCATAACCTCCCCAGGGAATTCACATGCCACCGCCGGCTTCTTCAGTGGGATTTTCAAACCTACTTAATCCTCACGATACTTCACCCGACTCGACACCCTCGACTCCAGGAGATTCTTCAATGGCTTCTTCAGTTAGCTTGTTACCGCCTCTCATGAAGGGTACGCGCCCCGCGACCGAGGAGGTCCGCCAGGATCTGCCCCGGCCGTATAAGTGTCCTCTTTGCGACCGTGCCTTCCACCGTCTGGAGCACCAGACGAGACACATCCGCACCCACACTGGCGAGAAGCCACACGCCTGCCAATTCCCTGGTTGCACGAAGCGCTTCAGTCGATCAGACGAACTAACCCGCCACTCGCGCATCCACAACAACCCCAACTCGCGTCGCAGCAATAAGGCTCAGCACCTGGCAGCGGCCGCAGCTGCTGCAGGCCAGGACACTGGCATGGTCAACGCTGCCAACATGATGCCACCTCCCAGCAAGCCTATCACTCGCTCCGCCCCAGTCTCGCAGGTTGGATCCCCGGATGTTTCGCCTCCTCACTCATTCTCCAACTACGCCAACCACATGCGCTCAAATTTGGGTCCTTACTCTCGTACCACTGAGCGCGCTTCCTCCGGAATGGATATCAACCTTCTGGCTACAGCTGCGTCGCAAGTAGAGCGTGACGATCACATGGGCTTCCACGGCTCGCGAGGCCACCAGATTTTTGGCTCTCGTCACCACGGCACTAGCCGAGGCCTCCCTTCGCTCTCCGCCTATGCGATTTCGCAGAACATGACCCGTTCTCATTCCAACGATGACGATGATGGTTATGGCCACCGTGTCAAGCGCTCTCGCCCCAACTCCCCTAACTCCACTGCTCCTTCTTCTCCTACCTTCTCTCATGATTCTCTGTCCCCTACCCCCGACCACACCCCCTTGGCCACCCCTGCACACTCACCCCGCCTGCGCCCTCTCGGTGCCAGCGAGTTGCATCTGCCTTCTATTCGCCACCTCTCCCTCCAGCACACCCCTGCGTTGGCTCCTATGGAGCCGCAACCAGAAGGTCCCAATTATTACAGCCCGACCCAGGGCCACATGGGCCCAACCATTTCCGACATCATGTCTAAACCCGACGGCACGCAGCGCAAGTTGCCCGTGCCCCAGGTTCCCAAGGTTGCGGTGCAGGACATGCTCAACCCCGCGGCCGGATTCTCTTCCATGAACTCGTCAGCCAACAATTCCGTTGCTGGCGGTGACTTGGCAGAGCGGTTCTAGCTTCCTTCTTTGCAACCTCTTTATGCCTTGAAAACTTATGTTATGCGCGCCACGAAACGATATAGACTTGTGCATTTTTACTCTGGCTTGCGGGCATCAACGGTGTCGGATTGGTTTTGATTTTTCTTATCTCTGGCGCTTCCACCAAATAGACGGATTGGGATCTTTGTTTTTTACCTTTGGCTGTTCACTCCTCTCTGGAGACTTTTCATTTTCTTTTCGAGTTCAAAATTCCGTGTCGAAAGACCTGCTTCTACTTTTTTATGTCATTCTCCTCTCTTGAGGCCTGTGGCCTCATTCACTTCTGAATCCCTGTTCCTTTACTTCTCTTCTCTTACTTAATTCCTCACACTGTGAGCAAAATCAAGAAATTTTTCACTCGTCTTTTTCCTATATTGAAGATCTTAGCTTGATTTGCATGTGATAAACCCCCCGCAATCTGTATACATATTCCATATTTGGCCTTGGTTTGACGGTATAGTTGACTCGGTGCATCTATAACATACGTATACTATACATCGCCTTTTTGTCCTCATCTATGTCTTATATGTCTTTGAGGTATCGAACCTGAAACAGTGTTGCAACTCTTATCACATCCAAGAATAGGATCTCCCAACAAAAAGATACATTCACATGTCAAGTTGTAGGCACTTTGTCTAGAACACGCCCAACGATCTAGATCCCCGTTCGCAACCCTGTAGCCTATGTTTGTATATGTGAAGAATTTACTACTACTGACGTAGCCCATGGAAAGCCCTAAGGAATTTGTTTTATATGTTTTACTCCACAAACGGAGATATCTCGATGTTTGTGTCATTTTAATTAAAATTTGCTCCACCAAGTTCAGGCTATGAACATGCTTTTAATATACAATTCTTCACTAATATCCACAAATGACGAATACCCATTATTGACCGTATTTCCGAGTATACAAAGTGATAGAGTCAGACTAACGTAACGAAAAATAACCTGCAGATAACCGTACCCGTGCATTGTATCCTAGACCATGCATCCTCAACAAAGAGAAGAAGTAAAAGAAAAAAATATATATATAATTCTGTGTTATGAGGTACAGTATAATCCATATAAGTCCCTTATATAACCCAACTAGCCCCCAATGCCCCGCCCTAAGATTTAAAGGATTGGAAAAAAATTCCAATCCTTAGCACCCCCACTTCAAACCTTTCTATATGGTCATTACCTACATTGTATGCGCAAAATCGGCCTATAGATGTCATGCATGCTGACAAAAAAAAAATGCAGATCTGACGGTGTTGTGTTGATCTGATATCGGATCGCTGGGGTGTATGTATTTCCCGCTCTATCCCGTTCCCCTCATCTGTATTACTTCCCTCTTTTCCTTTCCTCCTATACCTCTACCTCTACCAGGTGCTACTACGATTGCTATGTAAGCCCCATCAGGTAACCCGACTCTGACGCGATCCAGCCGTACCCATCCCGCGCAAATAGACCTCCATCTTTTGCATCACGGAGCATGTCGGAGCGCAAGCCCACAAGCCCCGATGACCCTCGTCGAGGCGACTTCGATCCGCATCTCATTTCACGCTCGAATAGAGACCGCCATAGAGATCGAGACCATCGTCGATCGTCTTCTGCTCGCAGTATCAGTATCAGCGTGAGTTCCACCGCTAGCAACAGCACGGCTTCAAGTAGGAACCCCGCGCTGTCGCAAAGGCAACCCAATAAGAAGAAGCAACCGGGCGTGGTCATCACCGCCATGTCGTCTTCGCCCACCATGCCGGGTTTGTCCAGCGCATCGCCCTCGCCGTCAATATCATCGGTGGATTCTAGGCCCGGCACCGGCGTTGAAGCCGCACATGGAGATAGCAGCACTGATGGGATCTACGTTCTCGGTGACATGGCGCCGTTAATCACCACCGACAGCGTCCAAGAGCCCGCTCTATCGCGCGCCTCGATCTCATCATGGGGCACAACTGCAGCGGCCTCTATATCATCCGCCACGCCATCAATACCCATATCGCTAACCGCCAGCACGGATCAGCGCACATACGCATGCCTTTTCCACATGCTGGACTGTCACGAGTCCTTCGACGATGGCGCAGAATGGCGCACCCACGTCTTCAGCCACTTTCGCTCCCACCCGACCCCGCCGTCAGCGCGGTGCCCGTTGTGTCCGAATACAAAGTTTGTCGACGGTATCTCGGATCCCGTGTCTTCGCCTGTTCTTGAGGACGGCGAGGCGGTCCGCTCTATCGATGACGCTATTCGAGCCCCGATGAGGGACTTCCCCTCTGCTTGGGATCGTATGCTTGACCACGTCGCTGCGGACCACTACTGTCTTGGCCAGACGCTTGCTGGGAGTCGGCCGGATTTTGAGCTTATGCGGTATCTTTATGGAATGCGGGTTATCACGGATGCGCAGTTTAAGGCTATGCAGTTGCCGCCTGCGCCGTCCAGCCCGGCTTATCATCGCTCGCAGGATGGTATTAGGGCTAGTATTGGCTCTGCTGATGAGCCATACTGTGCGCCGTATAGTAAGCGGCGGGAGGAGAGGATGAGGGGACAACAGAGGGGTGTCGGGGTGTTGTAGATATAGACGCTTCCTGTTCGCTTCTGGTTCGAGGTTTTGGTCTTTTTTTTCTTCTTTTTCATTTCTGGATATTCCCCCTTTCGCTTCTGTATAGCATGTACTTTTTTTGAGACCTTTAGAAAGCAAGTGTATTTTTTTCACCCTCCATAGAGTATCTGTGCCTCTGGAAGAAGAATATCAAAAACCAAAATGTATAGATCGACCCCAAGCAAACAAGACAAACTCACCGCCCTTGATGACGGCCTTTGCGACCTCGATCCTCCATCGCAATGATCGAAAGAAACAGAATGAGAACCTCCACATCAAAGTCCTGAATCTCTCTGCAACAGCGTCTTCCCGCCCACCCCCTACCCCTCCCCACCGCTTTCCGATTTTCTCTCCGCCAATCCAACAACCACAGCCACCACACCATGGAGCGCCTATCTCTAAACGAAAGCCCTGCCCCGGCCCCTCGAACCCCGCAGCAAAACCAACAATTCTCCCAGAATGCTCTCGGCCCAGCAGGCCCCCAGCCAACAGGCGGCCCACCGCAATTACCCCCGCAGATGTTCACGACCGCCGCACAGCTGCTCGATCTAACAGATAGTATGTGGACGCATCCGCGCTCAAAGCGACTCAATAGCACAAAGAACAAGAGTGCAATAGATGAACATAGCTGACGCAATCGCAGAGAAACTCGTCCTCATCCTCCGCGACGGCCGCAAACTCATCGGTGTCCTCCGAAGCTGGGACCAGTTCGGTACGCCAGTCGCACCACACTCAAACCCCATTTCACCTCGGCTTTTTATCTGACATTCAATTCTCGCAGCAAACCTTGTTTTCCAGGATACCGTAGAGCGCGTCTATGCCGGACAGTTGTTCGCCGATGTCTCGCGCGGGATCTTCATCGTTCGTGGAGAGAATGTGCTCCTGCTAGGCGAAGTGGTATGACCAATTCCTCCAATCCACAATCCTCAATTCCTCAATTCCCTTACTACAATTTTACGGGATTTACCCCGTGAAAAACCAACAATGTACCCCGGGCAACGAACTCCGCTCACACAATTGATACGCAGGACCTTGACCGCGAAGACGATATCCCACCCACGCTGACCAGAGCTCCGTTCGAGGAAGTCTTCGAGCTGAAGAAGAAGGAGGAGGCGAAGCGGAAAACGGGCGATAAGAAGCGCTACGATGAGCTGCAAGCGCTCGGTTTCGAGCCAGAACACAGCGGGGAGATTCTGTTCTAATTATTATCCACCTGCTTGTTGTGTTGTTTAGTCTGTTGGGGTCAGTGTGTGCTAGACCAGATTATTATCCTGTCTGGTGTCTGTATGCTCTGTCGACTTATCGCTTGCTCTATTTCCCGGGATCTGGTATTTGATATTATTTGATACCTGCATTTGAAGACAAGAGTGTTGAAAAGGAACAAAAGAGGCGTCAGTTACAAACCGGTCGATAACCTCCCGATGAGCGACGGAGTCGATTTCTGCGCCGTGGCGGATTGTGATTTTGTTTGGAATTGCATCGGCGATGGGAGTTTTGGAATGCTCGAGCGGTTGGGCTACTACTGTGTCCTACTGTATACTGTGAGGAGAAGCTGGCGACGCTATGGCCTTTGATGGATGCTATGTCGTCTGGTCTAGAGCTCGTGAGCTTTTTTTTTTGTTATTTGTCCCTTTTTGCATCGCACTCTACATCTACTTTTCTGGGTGAGTGATGGGGGCTGTGGGAAATGCTGCTGAGCTGCCTGGTTGGCTGGCTCGCGTTCATGAAGTTCTGATTGATATGTTCGATACACTTTTTTTGCATGATAAACTGCTTTGCAAATGAGAATATGATAAAATCACACTGCATTTGGGATTTTGGGTGTTTATTCGCCTACCTCTTGGATAGGGATAGAAATACGATGCCGCAAGAGTAGGTAGTGTTGTCAAATATACGAGGTACTACTCATCTCGGATATATGCACAGCCTATACGCTACATGTACAAGATCTTACACCGATGAGAATAAAACAATATCTATGTCCATTGACCTAAGAGAAACTTTTGAACAGAATCGTAATCATATCATGAAAAAACACGGAGTCGAATAACTCTGCATCGAAACAGGAAAAAGCCCAGAGTCAACGGAATCACCACAGCGGAGGGTATTATGAGAACGTCAACACTAACCAAGCACGACAGGGACCGAAGACCAGATGGCAGAAGCAAAAGAAACAAGAAATCAGAAAAAAACAGGGAACTTAGAACGATAACTCCGGGATCTGCTAGATGCCACCCTCCTTCTCTCCACCTACAGTACCCAAGTCCGACAGACAAGGCAAAAACAAAGAGATACCATTTACTTTAAAGTAAATAGTTTATCTCTTCTTGCCCCATCCCGAGCGGTTACCACCCCGAGGAGCGTGGCCTGGGTTGCGACGCTTCTCAATGCGACCACCGCCAGGAGCACCAGAAGTCTTGGGAGCACCAAGACCACGACGACCAGAGCTCTGACCGGATCCAGAAGCGCGCAGGTCCTGCTTCAGGTCGTCCTCGTCGACATCCATGCTGTCGCCAGCATTCTTCTTAGACGACTGGCCCATCTTAACCTTACCTCTCTGGCCACGACGGACAGCGTCGGGTCCACTGACAGCAGCGAGGTAGGCGTTAACGCCACCATCGCCAGCACCGGACATCTCGACGTCGTCAGCGACGACATCGCCATCATCGCCGAGGACAAGACGACCATCGGCGTCGACCTTAGCGGCGCGCTGCTTCTTCTTCGAGCCGGGGCCTGTGTTGAGGAAGCGCTGGCTGGGCTTGGTGGTGGAGATGCTGGCAAGAGCGTTGGAGCCGAGCAGATCGAGAGGGTTGTCTTCGGGGGACATCTCGCGAATGTACTGGGTGCTCTGGCCTGCCTTTTTCTTGGAGTTGCGGCCCTTGATTTGAGCGACGTCGTCGACATCGACATCGCTGTCGCCGTCGTCGGAGTTGTCGGAGTCGTCGGAGTCAGAGCCGTACACGGCTTTGTCGAAGGCGTTGCCGGATTGAGGCTTGGAGGCCTTCTCCTCTTCGTCGTCATCTTCGCCTTCGGCGCCCTCCTTCTTCTTGCGCTTGCTGCGCTCACGGGCTTTGCGGATATTGACGATAAGCTTGCGGTCCTCTTCGCCGACGATAGCCTCAAGGAGAGGAGCACCGAAGCGGCGCACAAGTCGGTCGATGATGCCCTTAACCTTGCTACGGAGACGGCCCTTGTGCTCCTTGTTCCAGGCCATGAGGCTAGGAACCATGGTGTTGAGACGGGGGCGCAGGGTCTCGTCGGGGAGAACGACGACTGCAACCTTGACGAAGCCAAGGACAGAGCGGACGATCTCACGGTTGTTGGAGGTAAGGAAGAGCTCAACAGTCTCAACGAGTTCCTTGAGCATCTCAGGCTGAAGTTGTGTCTGGAAGTCGAAGAACAGACGCGAAAGGGCGGTGACGGTGGCGCCAACCATGTGAGGAGCAGAGCCAGCCAAACCGGCTGAGACCATTGTGAAGAACTCCTCAAGGGTAGCGGGGGCATCGGGGGAATCATCTGCCACACCCGGCACGAGAGATCTGCGGATGACAGTACCGGGAGGGTTACGCTCTGAATCGGTTGTGCGCTTGGCCAGGAGAATCAGCAGGTCAAAGGCAGCTGTGCGTGCCTTCTCGTTGCTCTCCTTGCAGCCTAGAACTACTTCGGACAGGATTGCCGGGATGAAGTGCAGATCCGAGGTGGGCAGGTGGTGGATCATCTCGGTGATAGCGAGCATGCGGTCACGGCGGCCAGACGCAGGGGTGGTATCTGTGGTGGCAAGCATGAGAGCCTGCAACTCTCCGCTACGCTCCTGGAGGGCGGCACGGCCAGTCTCAGTTGTTCCAAGGCGGGGGATCAACTTGTAGGCCTTCTTGATGAGTTGCTGATCCGGGTTGGGGGATGAGCTGTTGAGGATAGATGCCGCCATGGCAAACAAGCCACTGAAGCTGGAGCGAGGGAGGTAGATTGACATAGCGATGACAAGGTCAATCAAGGTGTGGGAGGTCGGTGGCATCTTGTCGGCCGGGTTTTGAGCCTGAGCACTCTGCTTGGTTGCTGTCTCTTGCTCGGCAACCAGAGAAGACTCTAGCATGGAGGTAACGCGGTTGAAGGTCTCGTTAAGCTCCTATGAAAGGTGTTAGTCCGTGCTAATTGTATAGAGAACTGAGGGGGAAACTTACATTTTCAGGGGTAATGCTCAAGTAGGCATTGATACACTGCAGAATGTAGCCACGGTAGTGGGGAAGGGTCTGGCTGTAGACGTTGAACAGCACAGCCAGCAGATTGCTCGCGAGACTGCTGAGATGAGTGAGGTTCTTCTGTGCGGCGACCTTGGTGATACGTCGTTGCAAGATCAGATCATCCTCGTCGTTTTCGACAGACAAGATAGCCTGGTTGGACTCAACCAGGTTCTGCAAAGCACGGCAGACATCGACACGCAGCTCAGTCTGCTTGTACAGAACGTTAGACAGAAGCTCAGCGAATGTCTGGTCAAATGCCTCCTCAAGATCAAGCGGCAGCTCGCAGTAGCCGGGAAGAGTACCCCAGGTCTGTTGGACGAGAGTTTCGAAGATCTTCACTTCCACGGACTTCTCAGCGGCACCGAAGTTGACCACCTTCTGGTACAGTGCCTCACTCAGGGGAACGAGTTCGGTACGGAAGTGGCGGAGGTTCGTGTTGGTCACGCTGTCACGCATAATGGGCAGCATCCAGACACGACCGGGTTGACCAGCCTTCTGTTCGATAATGTTGAGGGGAAGAATCTCCAAAACTGCCTCGGGGCCCATTGCCTCGATGGCACTGGCAAGAACAGCATCGGCTTCCTTCTTGCCCTGGAAACCGCCATTGCTGCGCAGTTCACCAATTGTAGAGACAATCTTGACAAGATACGGGCTTGATCGCCACTTGAAGCAATCGAACAGGGCAGAGCAAACATTGAAAACCTCCTTCCAAGCAGCCTGGTACTTCACCGATAGGAGGTCAACGGCTGCACGAGACAACTTCTCCAAGGTCTTCTCATCATAGACAGATGGCTCCACAATAACACTATTGGGGATACAGTTGTGTAGGAATGAGATCAGACACTCAGATGCGGAAACGCGGATGTTACTGGAAGGAGAAGCCATGAATCCAGAAATCAGGGTGAACAGATCCGGCAACTTCTCGAAAGTATCCTCGGGAGTGATTTGCGCCGCAACGTCGTAACCGCGAGAGAGCACTGCAATCCAAGGTGGAAGAAGCTGGGAGTCATTCTGCGCCGGCTTGAGTTCGGAGATAGCATCCAAAAGACGGGGAAGCTTTGAAGATGAGAACTCATCAGCCATTCCCTCGAAAATCACCTCAAATACCTCGAAGGCACCCATGGTGATGTACTCGTTGCTAGATCGGGAAGCGTTCATCAGAAGTTCGCTGAGTGGCTCGATCTTCTTGCTGGGCCAGCCACCAGACGCCGAGGCAATGGTCTTGATCAGCTGCAACGAGTGAATGATAAGGGGCTCGTGGCTGTTGGCCTGAGCATCATGACGACCCTTCTTTTGCTTATGAGCAGCTGTGATGCTATCACCCAGAGTCTTCATCGCAGACTGAGCGCACATATCCGCACCTGGGTGGTCCAGAGACGGGCTGGGAGGGGGCGCCTTGAGAACCTTGACAAGAGCCTCCTGGGCACGTTTCCGCACCTTGGGGCGGTGATCAACCGAGAGACTCAGCAGACCTGCCATTGCGCGTCGCGGGCCGACCTGTGTGTGGGGGAGGTTCCATGATGCAGCATCCTGGGCGATGAGCAGAGACTCAAGACAGCCAATCGAAGGACGCAGGAGCGGGGCCTCGACCTCGGGGAGAGAGAGCGCGGGTGCAAGACCTTCGAGGATCTGGGAAAATTTGGAGCAAAGGATTGGGGCGGGGACGTAAACAGTTGTGATGTCGAGAAGGTAGACAACGGATGTTGCTAGGTCCTTGTTGACAATGCCCTGGGATGCGGAAATCGACTGCGAGAGCAGTGCAAGGAGAGCGGCGAAATATGCGGTAGGTGAAAAGTCTGCCTTTTGATCACGGAGAGTATCCTCAACTGCAGAGAGCACCACAGCGGTCTGTTCATGGATCAATATATTAGTGTTAATTGATTGGGTATGCAGCGGGAAAACTTACGTGATGCTGGTTCTGCAGCTTGGGAGACTTAATCTTCTCAAGCTTCTCCGCCAGAGTCGCCATGATGATTGAGGACGACGAGGTGGAGAAGAGTCAAAGAAAGCAATGTATTGGGATGAGAAAGAGGGCTGTTTGGCGGTGATAAAAATCGTAGAGGAAAAAAAGTAAAGTCCGGCAAATTTGGAGGCGGTCAGACAGGCGGCGGGGCGGTACGCTGACTAAGATTGTTTGTATTCACCTGGGCATCTTCCAAGGTTGTTCACTGTTATTAGAGGACTAATTGTGTAAAATATCAAGTTTTTCTTAACAAATATAGCCAAACTATGTTTAGTGTGGAGAGGGTTATAGTGGCCTTTAGCCTGGTCGTGGCTTCGGGTTGCTTTCGATTGATCCGATCCTATCTTGGCTCCAAGTGCCCATTGTTATCGCGGTCATGCCCAACAAAATTCAGAACAGTCGTCTAGTAGGTATTCTGGGAGAGATTTGATAGGTCATTTTAATATTTTTGCAAGCTTTTGAATGCGTGGAATGTTTCTGTCTTTAATATGTAGCCCCGTGGGCACAGAAGCCTTAAGATTACACTATGACCACTACGAACCACTGGATTCTACGCAAAGAAATGTGAAATAAATGAAACACGATGAACTGGACAGGTAAGCTTAGGTTTAACAATATGAGGTACAGATTGCATACTTGCTTGCAATGAATAGTCCTTGCAAGTAAGTGATCACAACCGTGCTGCTTCAGCAATAATTGTCTCCCCGCACTGTGTCGGGGAAGCTCTCGCCATCTGGTTGCCATCCCAATAGCTTTCTTGCTCGTGATGCTTTACCTTGGCCATTGGTACCCAGAAACACACTTCCATGGGGTATCACTACGTTGGCCTCGTCGAGATTCATGGATTTCACTGAATCAGGCGAATCAATATACCCAAGGCTATGGGCCTCTTTGGCGATCACCGAGGCGATATCTTTGAAGCTCTGATAGAAAGAAGGTCAGTAGATAAATTGCGATATGTGAGCTCATGAACCAACCTCGAAGCCCTTTTCGGCAAAGAAAAGGCCGTCTTCATTCCAGATAGGACCGGAGGTTGCATTGACAGCATGCTCCACCAATTTGACAAAGAGATCAGCCAATTCAGAGACATGAACTATGCCCCATCGGCTCAGTCCTCTGCCAAGATACAGACCAACACGTTGGAGCAGAGCGGCCCGGGCCAAGGAGGGAATCTGGATGCTGCGTTGATTCACGGGACCTCTACCAGCACCAACTATGATAGGAGGGAAGATGATCGCAGTTTTGGGGCCACCTGATCCCAAATCAAGAATGTAGTTATCCACTACTCGACGATCTTTGTATGCCCGAATTATGTCCCGGAGATCAGCAGCATTATCCAAATCATCAATGATTTGATCTGAGGGCTCGCCATATAAGTTTTTATCAACCTCAGGACCTGCTAGAACGCTAGCTCCGGTGACTTGAATGTAATAGGCTGCAGTTTTACTTCAATTAGCGATCAAACCCAAAAGAATATATTGTAGTAGTAGATGGCATACCATTTTGACGTCCCGCCAGGCCCTTTCCGATCGCTTTCACACTTTCGACATGCTTATTACTAGCAGCATCTAAATAAAAAAATGTCAGGGTAAGGTTATAATACGAGGTTTAAATTGACTCACGGATAACAATATCGGCTTTGCGCGATTCTTTTTCAATGATTTCAACATCGTCCAAATCCGCAAGGACCACTCGGACCTTAGGGTATGCAGCCAAAACCTTGCCGGCCTTTTCACTATCTCTGATCAATGCGGCAACCTCATACTCGGGATGCGCATGGTGCAAAGCGTGAAGGACTTCGCCTCCGATGTAGCCCGTGGCACCGGTACTGGAGTTTGAGCTACGAGTTAGCAAAACATGGATCACGCTCTATCAGGAAACGGAAATTCACTTACAGGAATATCTGGGTCATCTTTTTTTTTTTTTTTAAAAAAAATCGAGCTTGTTAGAAATAGTTCAAGATGAAAAGACAGGAGAAATTGGACAGACAGGAGGCGCGGAGTTTAATATACATCCCCGCGCACCAGGAAAGGAAAGTGACTCCGTGGAGACATTCTGCGGGGCCAACTACAGGCTTTTGGGTCCGTCACGACATGCTATCTTGTTTTTCGTTATACTTCTTCTTCTGTCTTTTTCCTTCTGTAGTTAGAAGAGTGAAAGCAATTGTCCTCCATTGCAACCCGTGAAAAATACATAGCAACAGCTCATGTCAGGCACAAGTCAACGCACATCGGCAATTTGGTCCACCTATTTTGGCAATCCCAAGTACATAAGAAGCTCATCAAAATTACAGTCGTGTGGGTTTCTCAGATGTAGCCAGCTAATAGCCTCAAAATCTCAGGACCGAGTTTCAGGCAACAGTGTGGATGCCTAGGCTAGTCCGTTTCGGGAGAGAAAGGGCCGTAGTTTAAATAAACCTCCCTATCCACATTGGCAGTGTACGAGCAGAAATAATGTCGTTTCTCAGTTTGCCCCTCGAGATTCACCAGAGGATCATCTCATTCCTTCTTTCCAACCATGACGTGGCCGCTCTATCACTTCAATGTCGAACTCTCCACTCTTTGTGTGACATGACAACGCGCAAGAAGTATCACCGAATTAGTGTCTCCGCAGGCGAAGAAGATATTGACAAGCCGTTCGCCTTGCTTATGGACATCCTCAAACGACCTAGTTTGGGTAATTACGTGCGTCATGTCGAATGTTGCACAGCAACATCCAGTCATATGGACTACAAGCAAGTCAAATCTCAGCGCGATTTGAGCAATGAGGAGATAGATCTCGTGAAAAAAGCAGTCAAAAAGGGTGGTTTCACAGGACTTCAACTTGATCGAGTGGTCAATATGCTCATGCGGAGGATGGAAAAAACGGCAACATATTACGACTATCAGTGAGAGTCTCATTTGCTTTTGGTCTCCGAATAACCATCTGACAGCGTGGATAGACACCGTGAGAGCCTCGGGACATTCATCACCCAAGCATTGACCGCGATTCTAATTGTGGTATCGCCGAATCTTGTGTCGATGGCCTTGACACACCCCTCTGGCCTGAGTCATAACCACACAATCGAATTCCCGCTCGCGCAGCTCCTTCGCCGGGCTAATGCCAGTCCCGAAAACACTCCATACCTTTGCCACCTCCGCAGCATTTATGTGATCAACAAAAACGATAGTACCTGGTCCGATGGTCGTTTCTATCTCCCACTAGACCTTTCTGGTTGCTGGAGGCTATTTGACAATTTCCTGTCAATTGAATCCGTCCGCGTTGATATAATGGAAAAGGATCCAAACGAAGAGCTTGAATTTAAAGAGAAATATTCCAATATCAGCAAGATCTCCATCCATCATTCGTCGGTTGGTTCCCTCTACCTTGCGAATCTGATATGGTCGTGCAAGACCCTCAGGGACTTCCAGTACTCTATTGGAGGTAGAGCGAGCAGTGATGGGGGTTCTCCCATCTTCAGCCCCAAAGCATTTATCAAAGTACTTTGCGCACATAAGAAAACACTGGAAATTCTGGATGTCGATGCGGAAAGTCAAATTCATATCTTTGACATTGATGATGAGGAGGAGAGAGACTATGCACTTAATGAATACGAGAGCCCTTTTGAATCTGGCATCAGCGACGAAACATGTACATTTTACCAATTGATATGGGCATACGGTGGGTCACTGAAAGAATTTGTGGCGTTGAAACGGTTGAGCTTGGGGATAAACTTTCTGTTATACTTTGCCGCTGGTGTTCGCGGAGAACCCTACAAGAAGAGGGAAAAGTTGGATCTGGTAGATTGTCTACCAAATGGGCTAGAATACTTATGTGTTCGAGGATACCAGAAGGGTGAGAACGAGGAGCATGATGAGCAGATGGATGCGTTGATGACCTTTTACAAGTCTGGGTCATCCCAACTGAAAGAGCTCAAGGGGATCGATGAATTGATTCCCAATGCCGAGGTAGTTCGTGATCCAGATAACGACGATCATTTGCTGTGGTCGCTGGAGGAGCTTGGGTATGAGAGTGATTAGCAGGCCATGCCAGAATATTAATATATTTTGTACTGGGTTTCAGTGCATCTACTCCCTTGACACTGCACATCTCCACTGCAGAGCATCGGAGAAGATCAAAAGCACTTTTAAAATTCAAAATTTAACTGAAGCCTAAATACTCGTATTTTGATCTGGCGGTTCAATCAAATCTTGCTATAACAATTTCGCCCAGAAGAGACCTCCATACGTTATACAACCTTGCCAAATATGGACCCACATACCAAAAGGAACTAGTTCAGGGATATCCCACTACAGAGTAGTATTTGAAATGATTTAGAATGAAAAGTATAAGGAGGCCTACTACCTAGAACGCTACATAAAGAATACAGCTCCCATACTCTCCCGGTCATTTACAACATATCTCATTTCATTCCCAAGAACTCTATTAGAAACACATCGCTGAAGTTCCTTCCGTCCCGGAAATATATTCCCCAATATGCGTATCGCCATTATCGCTTCCGCTCTAGCCCTGGTCGCTGGTGCTAACGCTGCCTTGAGCCCTCGCGAAGCCGAACCCACCGCCGACCTCTCAGAGAAATTGCAGGAGAGCTACGACCTTATTGTACAGATCGCTAGCATAGTTTTCCCAGAGGTATGTAAATCATGTCTTGAAATTTGACGAGCCGTGTTTCTGAAGACTGACTTGGAATCACAGAAAACTCCTAGCAAGGACCAATTTCTGACACAATTTCTGAACCGCAGTTGTCAGGATGGCATCTCTGCCGTCATAGAGAAGCAGAAGGAACCGGCCTACGAATACAACGAATTCACGAAGGAGAGTATCTGCAAATGTTGGGGAACTGTAAGCCTATCCAAATCTCATCATGCTTTTATTACTGGTACTGATCTAAAGTAGTACATTAAAGGTTACCGGGAATTTTTGGATACGCTCATTCAATACCAAGACGTTCCGGACTTGGCCCCATTCAAGCCTACCATTGCTAAGCTTACCCTCGAGCTGAAGGAAGCCTTCGACGACAGTTCTGTTATTCTCTTAGATCGTACTCCATTTTGCGCCGATTTTACTAACAGTAAACAAGAAGCCCCGGATAAAGAGTTCGAGCAGGCTGTGGGCATCTACGGGCGCTCCTAGGTGTGTTCATATGGCGCGGCCGTTGATATCTTTGATGAAGATAAACTAGGAAAGAAAATGGTAATCTTCATATTGTAACAATCCATTTCTTAATATTGCCATACGTGCATAGCACAATCCTTGACTGTCATCTGTTGACTGACCCGTATGTGGCCATGGGTATAATCTTACATGACTGAATCCAACTGTATCTGAATGCGAATAACTGCTTTTATATATCTTTATTTTTGTAAGCTTCTCATTCAAAGGGGAGCTGAATGTTGTTTAGGTCTTAGAGCATCGAGAAAACAATCTTGATCACCAGAGTGTTGGCCTCAGGCTGGATTACTGCCTAAAGGGATTAGGACACCTTAAACTGGAGATCTCATCTCCTCCCCTCTCTTCGAGGCATTGGTATTTTCATTTGTTTATTTCTTCAATAATAAATTGCGCTTACCATTTAGATATCACCATCCCTCGATTAGAAATATGCAACTTGGTAGGCCAAACAAGGTCTTATCATACTCCGCCTGGATGACGGCATGGGTGCAAAATCATCGAGGCGCGGGGTGCGATCAAAAAAGAAAAGAGAAGAGAAGCTCGGGCCATAGGAAGCGAATCCTCTTTGGTCAGATTTCCATTTCCTCACCTAATGGAAATCACAGCCTCATTTTGGAGCTGTCAGACCAATTGGAGGGAATCAGGGCTCTCCTTCACGTAAGCCGTCTCCAAGGCATCCGAGCGAGCCCTGAAGGTGCGCATCCAGTCACATCTCAAGAATACAACCTTTCCATATCGTGCCTGCGCCACTGTTTGAGCTGCCCCCTCTGAAAATCTCTGATAAGATCGCCAATCACGGTGACGTGTGGCGCCGGGGTACGCTGGGATGTATGAAAACTCTGCCAAAATGCCTCCCAAGGCACCCAGGTAGGTAGGTGATTGCAAAACCTTCAGTATATAAGCGTAGATCCCCAGGGGTTTCCCCGCATTTCTGTGTAGGTCGCCTTCATCATTCCCGTTCTACATGATACTCGTTAAGCTTGGTCTCTTCCGCTCCTGCGAACTACGATTTATATCATGACAGAACCAGTTGAGCATGGCTTTTCATACCTCGACCAAGAGGGAGGAGTTCAGTGGAACGAAAGTGACCCCCCCTTTCTCTTTCATTTTCACTGACCACTGGTCCTCTCTTGTCGACGGTTTTCCATATGACCCTTTTCTCGAATCCACCTCCGCCCCCCTCACGCCCAACCCTGCGGCGTCCACCTCACACAGCACTCTCCATAAGATCGCTGATACTCAATACGACAAGGGCGCCCAGGCCGAAGATGGTGCCGCTCCCGGCGATACCCCGAGTCTTGACCTTCACGATGGGATGTCGGATATCACCTCTACAATCATATCCACTGCGGACGAAGAGCAAGCATCGAACGCGGTCGCAGATGATAGTCCCCAGAGGTCTACATCTTATGGCAAAGTCTCGATGGGCGTCAAGTATGTTCCTGTTGGAATAACTCTCTGCTCCTCTAGCGTATCCATTCTAGATGTGGGTTCTAACATTCATCTGGCATAGATCTAGCCGTGGCAGCCAACTAAAGTGCAAATGGAAGCATTGCGAATATTCGGGTGGATTTTCTCAGATGGGAGCCCTGCTACGCCATATCAAAACAAAGCACATCTCACCGGGCTTATATGAATGCCCCGAGGGGGAGTGCCGGAAGTCGTTCAACCGAAAGGACAATTTGATTGCGCATATCCGGAATGTTCACCGCACAACCGCTTGATTCTTGCTTTGAACTGGTTCCTATATCCGGCAGTGAGTATCGGAGTTATGGTTGGAGATATGGTGTATGGTTACTGAAAAGTTAGGCATGTTTCTCAGTTTTTATTACAATATAAAAGTCTTCACTTGTTTTACTATTTAAAGAGTATGGTCCCATATAGGATAGCGATTTTACTATAATATCTAGACATAATAAGCTCAAATATCGGATGTGGACTGATTCTATAGGATATCGAGGATGCGTAGCACCGTATCACAGGAAAAATTAGAACCAAGCAAACCAACGGGGCTCCAATGTGGAGTTTTCTAGTGGAGGTGCTTGGCCAACCGGAGCCCATATCAGATAGAGACCTACCCATGTAACCTAGCGCTTGGTCATCCCCTATGTTCGTGTATCCGCGATTCTTTGCTTTGACTCCGAGGTAAACGACCGGCTCAGGAGCTTTATCTCCACATGTACGGCATTGCGTAGGCTTCTGGGGAGAAAATAACAAAAGACCCGACCGAGTCTCCATCTAGAGTCGAGAGCCACATAATTTGGGACAAAAAATGAACAACATTGTCTAGCATTGCGAACAAGTTATAATGGTAGAGGTACAAGGGAAGAAAAACCCTGGAATGAGTGAGGCTGCTGGATAGGGAGAGAAAAAGCCAAGAGAGATCAATGGAGGAAGGAGCAATGGAGGAAGGAGTAATGTCCTATCTGCTTGAGGCAACGTTGGAAAGCATATTATGAATGCCACATCGTGTAATTCTGTCATTATTCACAGAGTGGCGCAGGAGGTTGTTTGTTACTTCAAGAATTCCCTCCATTAGCTGTTATTCTACTGTACTAGATAATATTTGGCACTCGAGCCTTGACATCACGTCTACTTTTGGGGTGTTAATAACACCTTGAGGTATGTCTAAGGTTGCTTGCTCCACTGTGTCACTGCTCTAAGCTGATATATTATTATTTTAATTCTGTCAACGGTAAATTGACAGTGCAACACTTCACTCTTTGAATATACGTATTCCATCTTCCATGGTCTTAGTCCTGCTATCAACCAACTTCGAACCATTGCGGCTTGGTGAACAGGTTGAGAAGACAGGAATCTGCCCTCAACCAGTCTACCTACCCCCCTCTCAAGCACCTTTCTATTAAGCAACTAGAAAAGCACCTTGTTAAGGTCCTTGTTGGACTGAACCTTGATGTTTCTCATCATAAGCACCCAGGCAATTGACAGTCCCATCACTGCGGTACCGGCAATCATCATGTTTCGCTGACTGAATGCATACGCATCCTGGATAGCAATGCGAGCAGGCGTACCAACCGCATAACTGAGCTGGACGTCCAAAGACTCGTAAATCTCCTCCCACTGGTCCTTCAACTCAGTTGGCAGATTTGCGCGCAGCTTGACGGGGAGTGTGTTTGTCCAAATAGCACCAGAAACACTGCTGCCAACCGCACCACCAATGTATCCAAACGTGCTGAGAAGTGCCAACATGGCGGCATAGTCTTCATGCGAGGCTGCAGCAAGAACGGCAACCTGCTCGATCAGAATAAATGTTCCGCCACCTACTGCGAGGAAGATCTGGCACATGCACATATATCCAACATTGTGACCGGGTTGGCGGAAGTAAATCATCAGACCGCTTGCGAGGAGGTAAAGAGGCACGGCAGCGCAGAGAAGCCACTTGAAGCGACCAGTTGCTCTGATGAGGAAGCCACAGCCAATAAGCCAAATCGGGTCCATGAAATCAAAGATGGCGCTGATGTAACCGGCCTGCGTCAAACTAGTGTTGTAGACGACTTGGAGGTAGGAGGTGAAATAACTGGCCCAGCAATAATAAGAGACCTGGTAGGTGATATCCAGTAGACATGCGCCAATGACAGTGCGGTCTTTGATTAGATGGAATGGGATGAAAGGCTTTGGGGCGAGCCATCGCTCATAACTGACGAATGCCACGAGAACACAGAAGCCAACAACCATCATAGCAATGATCTTGGGCGATCGCCATTGGCCTTCAGTGTTGCCGGCAATATTGAAAGATGTTAGGAAAAGAATTGTGCCGCCGATCATTAGGAAGATTCCGATGACTGTGCGTTGCAAACAGATGTGAGTAAAATGCGTAAGAAAATTGATTCGAGAGCTTTACTGACCATCAAATTCCATGACGTAGAACCGAATGGTTTCTACCAAGGTTCGTGTTGTCCTCTCCTTGTATTGTATTTGATTGTTCTTGTTGGCCTTTTTCTTGGCCAATTCCCAGACCACAATCAAAGGTGCCGCAGCAATAGGGAGAATGATGCAAATTGTGCCGTACGCCCATCGCCAGTTGGTTTCGTGGAATTGGTTTGACAAAGGCGAGCCCGAAAAGGCAGTGATCATACTAGGAGATGAGGTGAGAGCATAAGCAAGACCTCGATCACGAAGCGATGAGGTATCTGAGGTTATCACGTCGATGCAGAAAATGGCACCGGTAAATCCAACAGTGTAAAATGCCTGTTAATTAATTAGCGATTTTGACAAAGGACTGTGGAGGGTATGAGCAATACCTGTGCAGCACAATATGTTGTAATATTGTTACAAGCAGCCATCATGATCAAACCCATAATTGCAATCCCAAGCATGATCACGAATCCAACAGTTCGATCAAACAGATTCAGGACTTTGGCGACGGGCATCAAACACGCAGCACCCATAACACTAGTAATCACCGAAATCACGGTCAACAGCGAGTGCTCCGAAAAGTCACTCGTAATGTAAGCCGACAGGTTTGCGGTGAGACTGCTGTTGAGGTTGTTGACGAAATACACCAGCCACATACTGTGATCGCATTAGACCTGACATTTGAGAACAAATTCTTCTCCCAAGATTGCTCACCTGGTATAAGCAACAATCAAATGTTTGCGAGTCCACGTAGTTGTGACGGCGTCGGCGATTTGAACACCATCTTGCTGAACCTCGGGTACCTCTGAGTCCTTGAGGTCCAACGACTGCGGGCGCTCCGTGGCCCCTTTGACGGTGGTTATGTTCTCCGTATCCATGATGATTAGAGAAGCCTGGGATCAATAGCCCAGAATTGATGGGTAAAAGGACGGATATGATTTTTAAGCTCTCTCTCTCCCTCACGGGTACTCCGTATATATTAAAATTTAGGGACCTTTGAGTTCGTGTAAGCGAGGGTGGCGTTGATCATTGCACGTGGGTCCTCTAATATAAGTAGTGTGCAACCCCTGCAGTAGGACTCCATAGACAGGAAATTACTCCGAGGGAAGTCTCAGATGGCTCACACTTTCGTACTCCATACTCTCGTAGATATCCATCCAATTAGGGCGGGGTTTCGGTTCCAAGGTTTCCACCCGAGTGGCGTGATCTGATTAAATTTTATGATCTGATAATTTCATGATCTGATAATATTTACGATCTGATAAATTCGAGGATCAGATAACTTTTACTCCGTACAATCATATAATTTTTGATCACCAAATCTGCCTCCCGTGCTTTTCAAAGCTTGGCTACATGTACAAGCTTTCGATGGCTTGGACCTTCGAATGCCCTGATGGTGTCGATTAGATCCGATTTAGTCTTAGGCCTATTCATCAAGCGTGCGTGTTAGCTTCCGACTTATTTAATATGGGCCTTGTGCTTCTCTACCAAAGACCAGGAACCTGATCAGGTGGTACTTGTTGTTCGCGTCTATGATCTTTTCATCGATTATAATTTTCTAGATGGAGACCCCCTTAGCTGAAAGGGCCGGTGTGCGCGGTATCCTCGGAATGTAGCATTTAAGGCAACGAAGTTATCCACTGTCTGTCTACATGATTGGTAGCGCTATGGCAAGTTGGTTGGGGGCCATGAAAAAATGTTTCACTTGGCAAAATATTTTCCACCCTAATGGTTGGGAAAGAGATTTCATTCTCCACAATTTGGGTCAAACCTGGACGGTGATGTTCAACATTTCCTTGGCAAAAGTCTAAACAACAGCCAATTTATTGCCGACCAATCATAGTTGGGAGGAACTCTCAGACCTCATAGCTTCGCAACTTGGCGCGGGTAAGGCGGGCATATACATAAAAGGTGGACGGAGGAACTCGGACAATTTCGCACATTAGCACCATGTACATCCGGTGTCTAAACCTCTTGTTATGGAAATCATGACCGGTTGTATAAACTGGGTTTGTCGCCGCCATACCCTACAGTTTTCAACTAATATGGATTGTCGAAAAGCCATCCGGCAAAAGACCGACGGAAGTGGACGCCGAAGCACCTGATATACGAGTCAGAGAACACGCAACCGTGTAATTTCGATAATATGGCAATATCCTGTTCAATCCGAGCTAAAAATATCAGGAGTAACGTAATATATATACTAAGATCAAGAATATATATCCACAACGGAGGTCAATACTGAACAGGCGTTAGTGCGACCTTTGTTCCGTTCGCAGTTGCCAACGTCAACCCTAAATCCTCCGTCCAAGGATTAGGATCGCGATTTTCGATCTTCTCAAAATGTTGCATAATCCTAGTAATAGTGTATCCAGCTTCCGTCAGCGCGAACTGCTGGCCTATGCAGATCCGAGGGCCTCCATTGAAAGGAAGATACGCCCAACCAGGCCTGATCTTTTCCCATCTCTCTGGGCGGAATTCGTCCGCATCGGCTCCAAAGACTTCGGTGTTGCGGTGCAATGTGTATACGCTAAAGATAACCTCGTGGCCCTTGGGTACGTGAACAGGAGATTTTCCATCCGGGCCACCGCCGACGGGAAGATAGGTGTCTGTCTTGGCTTCGCGAATATTGAAGGGGACGATTGGGTACAGACGCAGAGCTGTATATAGTTTAGCAAACCGCATAATTAGAGCTGGAACTTAATGCTGCTTACTCTCGTTCAGAACCCAGCCTAGGTAAGTCATGGATTTCAGATCGTCGAATGATGGCTTTCGTCCATCCAAAGTGAGCACTTCTTTTCGAAGTCTGGTCCACACCCCAGGCTCTCTAGCCAAGAGGAAGAATACAGTACCTAGTAGGTTGGCGGTGGTATCGCGCCCAGCAAACATAATACTAAATAGCTGGTCTGTTATGTTGGTCTTGTCAAGTGTCTGCTTCGACAGCTCGTAGGAAAACACATAACGACTTTCCGTCAACCGCTTGATATCTTGATCAACATCTCGTCCGCTATTAACTGCGACACGATAGTCGATGGTCCTTTGTACAAATCTCTCGACATAGGCGCGGGTATCTTTGATGGATTTGATGTATTCCTTCCTGCGGTAGAACCTCCCCAAAAACCCAAGTCGGAAGCGTATGGCAGTTACGTACTGGGCTACATCAAAGGCTTTTGCAAACTCGACACCCGCAGAAGAGTCTTCTCCGCGCTGGGAGTGAGCAGACTCTCCGAATAAAAACTCAGTCGCCGTGTCAAGTGTCTGCGTCCGGTCAGTCCTATGCTTTGGGAAACATCAAGCATGACAACGTACTCCGTTGAGAAACAGCGGCAGTAAATCGACTGTCGATCCGTCGCGTGGGATCCGATCGATGAGCTCAGCAACGTGGCTCTCATATAATTCGGTGTCGTTAATCCGGGTGCGCGAGAAATTAGGCCTGAGGAGAGCCCGTGCATGTTCCCACTCACTCCCGTCTACGCCAAAGATGCCTTGGTCCATGAGTGGACGGAGTGCATCTATGCGAGCAGAGCCAATTCCAAAGTCTTTGAATTTCAACGCGAGGGCTGTTTGGATGTTCTTTGGCTCGACAGTGAAAATAAGATTTCGATTAACCACTCTCGCCTTGAATGTCGGACCGTAGCTTCGATGCCAGCCCCGAATAAGCTCGAGAAACCTATGTTCGGGGCCGGACTTGGCTAGTTCCACAGCCATGCCGAGGCCGAACAAGCCGTGCGACACATAGTGTGTTGGAGGCTGACAGCCGTGCTCACGAGCGTATTTCCATCCTGGGTGAGTATTTAGTCTGAGTGCTAGTTCACTGTCAATGAGGAAGAGGTACATACTTTGAAAAGCTTGTATAATCTTCGCTAACGACCAAGTAATCACGACAACCCCAGCCACAAGGCCGTAAAAGGGAATCTGCAAGAGCTCGAAAGACATTGGTACCATGGTTACTGTGCTTTGCAGTGAGCAAGATATCCTGAGATGGTTAGAGTACTGAGCCGGGTTTGATTGATATTTATATGTGAGCTGTGTGTGTGTGTACTTCTGTGGCACCTAGTATATGGAATACAGCCTGTTCACTACCGGGGTAAAGCTATTGATGGGCGATCGTTTAGTACTTTCACCTAATGTGTTAAAACGCAGTACCCGTGTATTAGATATCGCGCAACTCACTGAACTTTTGATTCCGTAGCGGTAGTTCTATCCTGCACAACAGCCTGCTAAGGGAGAGGGCTCGACTTTGAATAAGTTGATCTCGGGTGAGGTTTTAAGATGAGCTCACACGTCGAAAATTCGGGGATATGTATGGCTGTAGTAGACCAGATGTGTAAGGAGAAAGCGTATATCTGGTACTCTGCATATCTCCAATTGTTCCGCTTGCATTAGTCAAAATTTATTGCTCAGACGCTCATTGGTTTGGATATCCGAGTTTCGACACATGTGCAGGGGGTTGCAGCGGATTTTCGATTTGAAAAGAGGAGACATGCGGTGGACGTATCTATTTTGTGTGACAGGTGCTTTTGGTCCGTGCTTGTTTATTGAAGAGAGCAACCATGTCGTTTGACGTTGTGATAGATCAACACATGAAAGCTGATAGATGGGTGTTTAATTAATAAGCGATAGTTATTGTTGATTATTGGTACATGGGAAATAATAAATAGAAATATGAAGGTACGCGGAGTCAAGAGGTGATTGTATTGTCACCCCGCATGATACTTTGAATGCATCAGAATAGGACGGAATGAAAATGCGAAGTAAATAAGAGAACGTACAACAAGTTATCAGAACTACGTAGCCACTACTGCCAGTAGCTCTTTTTCGTCACCCTCCGTTATTTTATTGTCCCTGCAAGGTGTTGCAGCGGGGTAGGACATCATGCATGGCACTAGGATCAACAGCGGCGCGCGCACGAAAGGATCTAGATGCCTATTCTGTCTTTTTCACCGAGTTTCACGATGAGCCTGAGAATTTGAGATGCGACTGACCGGCCCGTCGCCAAGCTTTTAGTGAATATTCGGGTCCAGCATTTCTGCTGCCGTGGCGTTTGAGGAGAATTAGTAGACAAGCTCGACTGACATCTAATCCCAGTCCTCGTCGCTTCCGGGGTTTCTTGCTTAGAATTGAGTCATCGAGATTATAACCACGGTGACTGAGTCAAGCATCCCGCAGGTCATCCGCCATGGCTAGGGCGAAGTCCAGGTTGGGTATGGAAAAGCGTGGCCCGAGCACGAAAGCAATGCTGTGTGAAATGTGATGGTGTGCATATCGTTAAAATTAGATCTAACGGAAAGTCCGAATGGAAGGCTCTAGGCTAGATAAGTTTATCATTTTTGCCATGACCTTGCTTTATTTTAGGGGTATCGACGGTATGCACTTGGCTTTGGTGTTGATCAACACTCACATATCCACTTTCCCCTCATTTCGTACATCCTTAGTACTTCGGCTGTATCCGCCACGTTGACATGTCATGAGTCAAACCCTGAAGTCCAGCACTCAGATAGTATGTCCCCATGTTTGTGCATTAATCCTCCGAGGGCCACACTAACAGTCTGCGACCCGCCAATAGTAACATCAAGCGACATGAGTCCCTTCAAGAGAATGTCGAGTTGTCGATCCCAGACCCCGTCTGGTATCAAAAATTGCGCGTCATCTGATGAAGCATCATCGGAACTAGAACGAAGCTGCAGGTCTATCACACTCTCAATGGCCTTTTGAAGGGCCGTGACAGTCAAACTGGGAGTGACATGATAAGCGGTAAGTGGGACTTCAGCGCCTAGTCCATTTTGGAGGTTGAAGGCCTCTTCGGCGGGTAAATTGAGCACACATTCAACTGCCTGTGACACGCACGAGGCTGCGTCGCGTTGGTATTCCCGGACGGATGGGCCTACGTCTTGTTCGACAGAAGGGTCGAGGTCTTTGATCACCTTTTTGAAGACTTCAACGAGAAGAAAAATGCCAAGGTTCCAGAACATCACGAGGGAAACTGAAGCGTAAACTGTTAGCCAGATACCAGTGATAGAAGTGCGGGGTAAAATACGAGTGAGCGAATGGGAGGAGTGAAACTTACCTAGGGATATCCTAGGACAGGTGGACAGACAATGGAAATTTCTGATGCAGTGAAGGATGAAAGGTTGGAATGAGTGGCTGAAGTCACGAACAGCCGCTACGCCCAAATTTAATGCTTGGATTGTTGGCGAGGACTGTTCATTGATAGTTCCATACGCCTGGTTAGCAACGGTTTTGATATTTATAATCTGCCTCCAGACAATAAATGTTTCCGCACTGGCTTTTCGGCAGATGGGTTGAACATTGATATCCAACTCTAGGATACTTTGAGAGACTGCCAATGCTGCCACGGCCTCTTTATCTGAAAGAACTGCGCGGTCTTAGTTTGGTTATATATGAGTTTGAGATTCCCCATGCGAAGATCACTAACCTGTCGTAGTACCCCACAGGTCTGGAAGTTTGCATTGCCGATCCATAGCCAAGGCTGCGCCGGTGTCGCGGATATATGCAGTCCACCGGACAATGCTCAAAGTTGCTTCAGCAAGGGCACCATACGTAGATGATGGTCCCAGGTTCGCACAGTATTGCGTGACTAAACCATCCAAGTAGGATAGCTTTTGCAAAGCGGTGTCAAGAAAGTGGTTTGGGACGGGGTCCTCTCTTTCGATTATTTTAGTCGGCGTGACAATACCAACAAACATGAGTGTTGCCAATACAACTCGAAATGACCGAACATCGTGCGCATCGTTGAGAAGTGATCTTGCCCGTACCCAAGCATCAATGAAGGCATTCAAGGGAGAGTCATCTCCTGCCTCTCCAGACTTTGAATTACGTTGAAAGTGACCGGAGGCCGAGCATGTTGCAAAGGAAGGGGAAGGTGAGCTCGGCAGCCATTGCATTGAAAATGCGCGAAGAACAGCTTTGAAGGTTTCATCTGATTTCTTCCGCGCAGCCGAGTTCAATCGATTACCATATAGGTCGCCCAAATGATCAAGGAACCGAACGCTCCCTAATAAGGAAATCTCATAAGGCATTGCTTGTGATGATACCGGAAGAGCGAACCGGGGCGAAATAGTGATTGGATCCATGGCCGAGCTGGTAGGTGCCGATCCATTTGAGCTCCCTGAGTCACTTTCTCCCAATCGGTAGCGACTCTTAGTCGCATAAAGATTGCAGTCATAGTCCAAAAACCTCGACGCACTGGCTGTTGCAATTGCTTCATAAATCCGGGCAAGACGATCACCAAAGATCTTCGCGTCTATTCCAGAATTTAGCAGGTAGATGGGACTGTCAAATGAAAGGCCAACCGTTGGTCGGTGACTATTTGATTCGAGGTTTTGTCCTCCGCGAAAGTGTGTCAGTTGGGGCGTAATAACTGTGAGTTGACTGTCACTCTGGCTCTCTTCTGGCGCTTTGTCCTCAGAACGAAGCGCAGTGAATGAATTAGAAGGCTCGAGGTTGGTTGGAAACGAGTTGGCACTATCCGCGACAATCTCATCATAGTCAAGATTCAGCCAAGCAGCCAGAACATCTTGCTCAGCGATGGATGTGGCATCAAATCGATTTCCCGGGCTTACAGCGGCTGCCTCGGTTGTTGTATCAAAGTCGTTATATTCATTCTGCGCTGTTGATAAACTAGGTTCCCCGTAGTCGCGCCTCTGGCGTTTGCGAGAGAAAGGGTTGGATTGGGCTATAGCGAACTCGAATGTACATTCGCGTTTTAGACGTCTGCAATTTGCGCAGATCGCATCGGGGATTCCGTCTGGATCCGACTGAACAACACAGCGTCGCTTAGAACGTCTGCATGGATCGCAACTTGTGTTCTGACGCCGCGGTGGATTCACGGGAGATGTCAACGCCTTCGGAGAATTGAGGTCTCCCGGCATTCCGTGTCTACATGATAACTACAAGATGAAAGAGTGTCGACTGGATTGGGTTATTCCCGGCGCGGCTGGGTTCTTTTTCCGCTCCGCGCCACTACTGATGCCTTATATATGCCTGAAACATGAGGCAACAATTCAAAATGTATGTTCGACAGAGAGGAGAATCGTTATATAAAACAAAAAAAAATCTGAATATGGTACACTTCCCAGGCCCAGTAGTTTACTTTTTAAAAAAATATGTTGAGGGCAACAGGGTTTACTCGACATCCTCGCATGCTTAGACCTTCTCTCCGGCTGCCCTCCGAACGCAATCGACGATGAAGCCTGGATTACTCATGAATGGGGAATGGCCCTCATCACATTCCTCCACCTCAAAGAAGTCTTGGCCTTGCGCAATCATTCTTCGTTGAAACGGTTCCCGCAATGCCTGGTCGTTTTTGCAGACAATGTATGTGCTGGGGATCTCACGATACGCGGTGTATGTAACAGGAACGGTCAACGGGCCCACGGGGAATGTGCCCAGCAGCTCCACAGCCCTATCGATATCTTTCTGGTCACATCGGTTATAAAAGATGAGGTGGACGCGGTCCTTTGGCAGGCTGGTTGCTCCGTCCTGGCGATAGATTAGCATTGAGAAATAGAAGTAAAGGCTGGTATCCATACCGCTGACACATCTAGTCCCCCAAACTTTTCCTCCAACTCCTTGCGCTGACGCTCGATCTCTTCTTCCTCGGGCGTCTGCGGGACCAACTGGCCGACATGGCTCTGGCCTTCCGGTAATGCCATCGCGCACATATAGACCAGCTTTATAATCCCGCCTTTCAATCCCTGTGCATCTCGGTCCTTCTTTCCGAGACCCTTGGCTGCCTCTGACATGGCGATTCCGCCAAATGAATGTGCGAGGACGACGACATCCTTCCCGGCATCCAGTTTGTTCATAATCACTTTTCGCACAGCTTCCGCGTCTTGCTCCCAGGTAGACAGTGGCGGGCTGGAGTCCACTGAAGGCATGGTTACGCCCTCTGCATCATAGTTGACCTTTGCGAGCTCATCAATGAGGCCCTGGAAGTGTGCAGGTCGGTGCCATGCACCTGGCACAATGACAATTGAGGGGTTGACCATGATGGAGTCGTATTAAAAAAAAGAGGAATGAATATTAAGATTGAAGAGAGATGGAGAATGGTAAGTTTGGGTTGAGTTACAATGGAGGTGAAGCCTTTAAATATCTTGATAAATATTTGGTGTCCACCTGGGCAGGTATGTAAAAATGTCCCCACATCGGAGCCGCTCCAAAGTGGATCTCTTGTCGGAGCCGCCTTCCAGGGTTTTACGGTCGCTGATTGGTCAAATCCTGCCAGCGGCTCTCTCGTTTCATCGTACGGAGTACATGGATGGTAGATAAGACCTACAGCTCCATCGCGGTGCATACAGAAGTGTTTAAGAAACTTACTGTGTTATTCACCCAAGGATTATGAGAGCTACCGCTGGTGTTAACGATCACTGGCAACGTCGGTGCCTTTGTGAAATTTAAAAAACAATATACCGAGCCGCTTCTTTGTTCGAAATATGTTCATACTATCTCCAAGTTGTATTTCTTTGACTCCTTTTTTAATTCCCTTGGCGGTGTCTGTAGTCGAATAAACTGTCCCCATGTCTTCCAGGTGTCTTTATAGTCAACTATCCTCACCCGAAGGGCTCGGGGGGACAAACAAGTTCATCGTCCGAACAACGTAGGCAATGATGGGTTGAAGTGACAATTCCCCATTGCTTTTAAGCAGCACAAACATTGATCTTTTATCTTCATCTCCTTTCGTCTTCATCCTCTTTCATCGTCATATTTTATCATCATCATCTTTCATCCTCGTTATCTCTGATCCTTGTCATCTCGAATCCACCTGTCTACTCATCCTGATTATCTCCCTTTCCTTGTCATTGATTTGTCCAATCACGACGATGGTGCTCGACCAAGTCCGCGTTTCTACGCGGCACACGCTTAACTGCGCCAATGAGGCGACACTCGCCGCCGTCGAGTCCCCTTTCAGCTTAGGGCCAATCGATCACACCGTCCCCTCTATGTTGACCATCGAAGCTATACTCGTCTACAGAAAACCGAAAATGTTGCCAGAAGATAACTTTCTCCTGGTCGAACGCTTGAAGGTGGCTGCATCCCACCTTCTCGACTACTACCCTCACCTCACTGGTCGTCTGCAGCAGAATCCAGTCACCCAAGCCCCCGAAATCGGTAGCCTGGGCACTGGCGCTGAACTTTGGGAGGCACAATGCACCAGAAAACTCACAAGCATCGCGATCTCTGCCCTCTCAACACGAGTCTTGGTCGTCAACCTACCTGAGTCTGGTAATGGTCTTCTTCCAATCTTTCATTCGACAGTGGGATCTGCCTCCTACAATCCTATCTTCGCCATCCAACACACCCGCTTCGGCTGTGGAGGGGTTGCACTGGGTATTCGTGTTCATCACCAAGTCTGCGATGCCACTGGGTTTATGTATCTCGTGCGCGATCTCGCTGAGATCTACAAACAATTGCGCGACTCTTCTCCGCCAACACTTGTATCTCCCCCGAGATTTTCTCACATTTTCGGGGAATGCAAAGTCCATCGGCTAGCCAGAAGGAGAAAGCGCTTGCATTCGACCCTCCAGACTTTTACCTCGACAAAACCCCTACTGTTATGCCTGACGTTTCAGAGCCTCGATCTGTCTACACTTGTCCTCTCCGTTTTCATGGTCAAGACCTGATTTCACTCAAGACTGCTGCGACTGACCCAAATGCCAAAGGGCAGACCTCGTTCACCAGATTCGAGCTCGTCTCAGCCTATCTGTACCAACGAATTTACCAAGCCAGAATCCAGGTGTTGCGTAACAAGGGACTCACACCAGACCCCGGCACCCTACAGTCACTTCGCGAATTTGGAACAACCATGGATATGCGTGGCTCTCCCCGTCTGAAGCTTCCCACACGCTACTTCCCGAATGCCGTTTACTGCCCCTCCACTTCCGCTTCCCATGAATTACTCGAAAAGGGCGCCCTCTGGCAGGTTGCACAAATTGTCCATGATGCCATTCACTCAGTCGATATCGATTCGGTGAAGCAGCAGTTCGAATGGATTGCCGCGCAGCCCAACAAAAGCCTCATCAAGTTGAAAAAAGTACTTCCCCGTGGTTGCCTTGTCTCCACCCAGTGGAGTAGGGGAAAGACATACGTTGGTGTTGACTTTGATGCCACCGCCGATGGGAGACGTATTCCCCCTTCTCTAGTGTCCCCAGCTTTTAGTGAAGGCTACCGGGTCGATGGTTTGGCCATGATCTTGTCTACCGAGGAGGAGGTGCCCCGTCGCCAGAAAAGACGCTCTTTGCCCGGTGTCAGTATTCCTCATGCTGTCGATGTGAACTTGACTCTAGATCGGTCGGTGTGGGATGTTCTCAACAATGACCCCGACTTCCTTGCGCTCCATTCCTAGTTTGCGATTCCCCAATAACCTCGCTTAGGCGCGAGTGACCCAAGTTGTACTAAATATTTTTTGGATATTTCTTGATCTCTTGTTTGATAATTTTCTTTTCGGAAACAAAAACGGGGGAAAAGTTGAAATACACGGGGAAAGTCCCCTAAAAACAACTCTGTACATTACGAGGAATGAATACAAATTGTTAGTGTCCTAACCTGAGTCTATCATTATCGTAATTCGTTTTATGGCGTAGTATTAAATTTCTTGCTCCTTACCCAATGTATTTAGGACCTAGCCTTCAAACCCATTCCACATACCGCTAGATATATATTTACATGGGGTCACCTTTAATAAGTTTAATGTGCAATCCATGATATCTCTTGTTGATCCTGAAGGTGGAAATACGGTTATTTCAGGAACAAATACCTAGGTATATTGGTATTCCTATCGACAAGAGAAATCCAGGTTGTATTTGAAGTTTGTTGGAGGCCTTGACTCAAGTAGAACGCTCATAGGAATGCCGTCATATGGTTTCTGCGTCAACAAACTATGGCATATGATTGGTTAATATTAAATATCACGTGTGGCCCATCCCCGGGGATCCACTTGTGCCAGGCCCAGAACCATCAGAGGTCCAGGGCTTCCATGGTCTTCAGTTTGTTTTTGGGACCTCCTTTGGATATACTTCTTTCCTTTTGAAAACATCGTATGCTTTAAAGAGATTTGGAAATAACCAACACCCATCTGTTTGACGAATATTCAACATTGCAAAGATCTCTGTTCTCCCCACGTGTGATGTCATCGGCCGCAGCGATGGAAGAACCACCGCGCCGACCTTCGCTTGAACGCAACCAGTCGACCCAGGATGGGCCAAAGGTCCAAGGTAGGGAAAGCTCTAATTACATAAACCTTTGGTAATAAGAGCATGCTGACCTTTTTTCGAAGCTGATGGTCGAATTGAGATCAACCTGGACTCCAAGGTGGGCAGGGAAGTGTCAAAATTGATACCATTTCTGCATAAGGAAGAGCATATTGAACCACAACCAGAGCCTTCAGGCGATGCGGGATGTGGTCTCGAGCTCAACATTGTAATCCAAGTTGTTGGTAGTCGAGGCGATGTCCAGCCTTTTGTCGCACTAGGCAACGAGCTTCAACGCCATGGACACCGCGTACGACTAGCCACGCATGGTGTGTTCGAAAAATTCGTGCGGGACTCTGGTCTAGAATTTTATTCAATTGGAGGAGATCCCTCGGAGCTGATGGCATACATGGTGAAGAATCCGGGACTGATACCACAGATGAAGTCTGTCCAAGAGGGTGATATTCAACGCAAGCGTGTCATGGTAGGTCAAATTCTCCAGGGATGTTGGAAGTCCTGTATTGAGGATGACTCTGTGACCAAAACACCATTTGTGGCCGATGCCATCATCGCAAACCCTCCAAGCTTCGCCCATATTCACTGCGCTCAGGCGCTTGGCATCCCTCTACATATGATGTTTACCATGCCGTGGACCAGTACAAGATCATTCCCCCATCCATTGGCGAATTTGAAATATTCAACCACAGAGCCGAAGATGGCTAATTACCTTTCGTATGGGATTGTCGAATGGCTGACATGGCAAGGGTAATAACCAGATTTCTGCTGATCCAGAATCAAGTACGCTGACCTCATAATAGCCTAGGCGATGTCATCAATGATTGGAGAAAATCTATAGACCTAGAACCTATATCAGCCACGGAAGGCCCCCGTTTAGCAGAAACTCTGAAGATACCCTTCACATATTGCTGGTCCCCTACATTAATGCCTAAACCAGCGGACTGGCCGGCACATCTCAATGTCTGTGGGTTCTTCTTTCGCTCTCCCCCGGACTTTACACCACCCCCAGACCTTGACGCATTTCTCCGCGCTGGGCCTCCGCCGGTGTATATCGGGTTCGGAAGCATCGTTATCGAGGACCCCCCAGCCATGACTGCCACGCTCGTCAATGCAGTCAGATCCTGGGGTGGCCGTGCAATCATATCCCGTGGCTGGAGTAATCTCGGCGAAGCACAATCGGACGACCAGATCTTTTATCTTGGAGATTGTCCGCATGAATGGTTATTCCAGAAGGTCGCTGCAGTTGTACACCACGGAGGAGCAGGGACTACAGCATGTGGTTTACGATTTGGAAGACCCTCTCTTATTGTACCATTCTTCGGAGAGTACGTAATCCTTTGAAAGCCTTTCCAATTTTTCCGTTAACTTGTCACAGTCAGTTATTTTGGGGAAATATGGTCGCGTCCCGCGGGGTTGGACCAATGCCCATTCCACACAAGTCTTTGAACGCAGATAACCTAGCGGAAGCCATCCGTTTTTGCTTGCACCCTGATACCCTAGAAGCAGCTGGTAACCTTGCTCGTGAAATGAGCGAGGAAGATGGAGTTTCAGCAGCTGTTGCATCTTTCCATCGCAACTTACCGATCGACAACATGAAATGCCAATTTATCGATTCTGAGCCGGCTGTATGGCAGTTAAAACAAAACTCAAAGGCCTTTATAATTTTATCCAAGATGGCAGCGGGAATCTTGCTTGAAAATTCTCGCATTGATATAAAGGACCTCAAAGCGTGAGATCATATATCCCGACCATCCTATTTACACATATATATGCTAACACACACCCTGAACTAGATACGGGAGTAAATCGATTTTTATTCAGACTCGGCGGTGGGATCCTATCACTGGCGGCACGTCATCCGTACTAGGCATGTACAAGGATATCCTCACAGCATCAAGCGACGTGGTCATTCGCCCTTACAAAGAGTTCAGCCGCGCCCGTCAACAAAGCGAGCCCGAGCTCGTAGTCATCGAGACTACGAATCCCCAATCCGAGCGAAGTCCATCCGAAGGGATCTCACGTACTTCCAGGACTAACCAAACAGACGAAGAGTGGAGAGTTACTAGAAAGGCAGTGGGGGGATCCGCCAAAAGCGTGGGGAGGATCATAGCCTACTACTACAAGGGCGTTCTGGTAGACATACCCGGAGCAGTCAATGAGGGCCTGAGAGCTGTTCCTAGACTTTATGGTGAGGAGGTCAAAGACTACGACAACATCTGGGACTTCAAGTCTGGAGTAGCTGCCGCTTCAGATAACTTTGCGCATGGGTTTTCACATGGGCTCACTGATATCTTCCGACAACCCTACGAGGGTGGCCAGAAAGATGGTATTAGGGGTGCAATCAAAGGATTCGTGAAAGGACCTATTGGCATGGGGACAAAAGCTGCGTCAGGTTTGTCACGCACTATATATCCCTACGAGACTAGCGGGATTATGCTAATTGACCGCCTCTAGGTGCTTTGGGTTTAGTAGCGTATCCAGGCCAGGGCTTGGCCAAAAGCTTACATTCGGCTATACATTCCAAGACTCGCAAGCAGCTTGTCAAAGCACGATTGGCAGAATCTGAATATTTGGCTAGACAGTCAGCGAAGGCACAATCAAGTTGCCCCGATGTCATTGAGGCATTCGAAGCTCAACAACGGCAGCCTGGGAATACTCCTAGTTCAACGGATTCGGAACGAGCAAGTTCCCAATGATGAAAATAGTGGAGAATATTAGCAATATCATCAATTTCATGAATATAGTCCCAAGTTCCACAATTGACTCCATTTTCCCAGCCCCGCATAATTCGGTCTCCCCTGCGATAGGTTGCAGCGTATCAACTCCGATGACGCCTTATCTATACCATGCTTTCCTTTTCTCTTGTTTTTCGCATTGCCCCTGTATTTGCTTTTTTCATATCCCTGGAGTTCAAATCGAATCCTAGGCCTTGGAACTACTTTTGGACCACCAATCATCATGTCATCCAACTCCGATGCGAAGTCCTTCCCTCACCCAACGGCGGGGTATACCCAACCATTTTGGCGCACGCAACCAGACCCTCTTGATAACCACCAAACGACTCCAGACCTGCCAGAGGAAACTGATATCTTAATTATTGGCGGTGGCTATGTCGGAGCCTCGGCCGCTTATCGTTTGCTCGCGGAGAACCCGCAAAATCCAACTCCCCGAGTGGTGTTAGTTGAGGCCCGGGAGCTGTGTTCTGGTGCCACCGGGCGCAATGGTAAGGGCCTACCCGTGACCTAAAATATAGGTATATAATTCCAGCTTACTTAATTTTTTATTACTTTTGCTTAGGTGGTCATTTGAGACCAGATATTTATTATGCAACGGCTTTGTTTGCCAAGCGCTATGGTATCGAAGCAGCAGCGGAGATCGTGCGGTTTGAGCTCTCACACATGAAGATCATAGAGGAGCTGGTGCGTAAAGAGAACATCGATTGTGATCTCACTTTTACCCGCTCTTATGACATGTATCTCGATGAAAATCAACTCAAGAAGGTGAAAGCCTTCCACGATTCGTTGGTTGACCAGGGTCTGGACTTCATGGATGATGTTAAATACCTATCTGAGGCCGATACCCGAGATGTAAGTCGAAATGAAATTTCAAGATAGTATATCCATCTTCGAGATTCTCGCTGACAATATTTGTATTAAGACGGCACATGTCCGAGATGCCAAGGGGGGCTTCAGTTTCCCAACAGGCCACATCTGGCCTTACAAGCTCGTCGCCCATCTCATTCGTGTTGCTGTTTCGCACGGCCTGAACTTGCAGACCAATACGCCGGTATCTGCAATCGGGGAAACTCCCAACGCAGATGGATTTTGGCCGGTAACTACCAGTCGTGGTGTCATTAACGCGCGCAAGATTATCCTCGCTACAAACGCATACACCAGCGCATTAGCCCCGCAATATTCTAAAGCTATTATTCCTTGCAAGGGAGTCTGTAGCCAGATTGCTGCGGCGCCTGGTGCACCTCGCCAGGAACTACCTGGTACTTATTGCACTCGGTTCGGTCCGGGGGCGTGCGTTTATCAAATTTCTCGGAATGATGGGACGCTAATTGTTGGCGGGGCGGCGCATCTTTATAACAAGGATCGGGAGGAGTGGTATAATAACTCTGATGATGGGAAGTTGATTAAGGTTGCTGCAGATTATCTTGATGGGTATATGCAACGCACATTCCTTGGGTGGGAGGATAGCAAGGCGGAGATCAAACATATCTGGGCTGGTGGTATGTGCGATTCCTTTAGGGTATAATTTTATTTTGCTAACCCCCTGTCTCCTTTATAGTGATGGGGTACAGCGCAGACTCGTTGCCTCATGTTGGTAGTATTCCGGGTAAACCGGGTCAGTTTATCGCGGCTGGATTCCATGGTCATGGTATGCCTGTGGCATTCCTGTCTGGTAAGGCTGTTGCGGATATGGTGCAGAGCTCGGTTCCATTTGAGGAGACTGGTTTGCCCAGATTGTACAAGACGTCACCTGCTAGACTGGATCCAATTTATGATGATATCTTAGGCTAGATATGTCTGGCAAGGTCGCTATGTTGTTTTCCTTACATCACTATTACGGAAGTACTGGATTGTTCCAGGATATGGGGCCATGTATTATTTCTACAATTGAGATGTGCGACAATACACTACATACATATGGAGTTGGGATAATCCCATCTCCCCTTGTTTGCTGGATTCAGGGTATATGTACCCTGCTTTCCCATAGGTTGAATACCAAGATTCCTTCTTCTGATTTCCCCCGGTAATAGTCTCATCGATATGGAGTTGACAAGATGAACCTGGACAATGAAGCAAGGATATGATGATTGGCACTTTGTACGTTGATATAGAGACTGATCTCGCTTTCGTTTATATATATTCGGAATAAGATCAAATAACTAACGACCAAGGGAGCTGAGATGCAGAGCTGGGAATGAGGGAGAAATGAGCTCCCAAGGAGTCAAAGAAGGAAGCCACGCCTTTGGATAATGAGGCATATGAAATTGCCGGCAACCTTGTCGATCTGACCGTTAGGAGCGAGGCTGGAGTTCCAAGGCCTTTCACCTCAAAGGTACCGTGCCATGAGTCGGACTTTACCCTGGAGACGGTCAACCCAGTGTCCAAGCCGGAAAGAGGAATACACGGAAATCATTCAACGAGAAAAGTCTCGCAATTGAGTGAGCTCGCGGTTGAGCTACGTATCAAAAATACTAAGCAGTACCCTACAGAGGCTCTAGCAAAATCTGAAAAACGACCCGAAGGGATGATCCCTAAGAAACACTGGCTCAAAAAGTTCAAACACCGCACTAGCCTCTCGCCTTTTCCTTATCTTCCTACATCTAGTGAGCTTGTGATCAAGGTCTGTCAGCCTCTAGCACTTCTGAATCTGGTTTCCCAACAACAAGTCCCTGATTTACGACTTCGACAAGCGAGATGAGGTACACAAGTTCCACCTCCCGCGATCCAACCTCCGGCGCTGTGTTAAGATTGATCGCACTAGCAGCGAGTCAAACCCTGGATGTGAATACCGTCGTCATTCATGTCGCTCATATGTTGTCCCTCGATCTCACACCAACTATATTAAAAAAAAAACAGAAGGCCAAAGCAGGACTCCACCAACCAGTCTCTCTGAGCGGATCTGCACAAATAATTGATCCGGTTCACTTCTCAGAACGAGCAAAGCCCTACGAACGATTTCCGTACTACCCAATGAACTTCCCGAATCCCGATCGAGGCGGTCTGTTCAATGGAATGAGTATCAACGCCAACGGGGATACCAATTGAGATTACAGGCGACTGAGTCGCAGCTGTGAGCTGCTAGCCTCCAGTAAATACAAATTTCCTCCGAGAATATGCCGATATCGCAAATCCGACCAATACTCCTGCCAATATACACTTCCTCCGATTAAGTGGTCCCTGCTGGCCTCCGAACCTTCAGACGGAAATGCGATGGGGCGATTTTATCCATAGGAATCATTTAAGCCAATGAAGAATGTCATACAATATGCACGTACCTTTTTCTTGGCATCCAGATAGAGGACTTGGTGTCGGCTGTGTGATCTTCCGAGAGAAGTTCCAAGGTTGTGTAGTAGGTAGCTTTCGGATCCACTTCCGACAAAAACCCAGCTAATCTCGCGGTCAGACCCTAAGTCCGCTGGATGGTGGGTCAGAGTCCGCTCTGGTACTTATCCTACCCTGTAGTTTCTATGAGAATTGAACAGCATATTCATATCATTTATATGGTCTTCCATTCCAAGTACAACATCCTGATTGTCATACGATCTCATTGAATTTTCAGTCGCACATTCAAACAGATTGCTTTCACAATGGAGCCCAAAACTAGTCGCCGAGGTCGAAAGTGTGGCTCCACTTTCTCCCTGCATTTACCTAAGTTAGACCACCACTCCGCACCACCACTGTCTTGGCCTTTGTATTCCGGAAGAACGGCACAGCGCAATATGCTGGGCCTACTACGGGAGCATTGACAGGATAACTACCAGAGAATGTATATTTCACCACCATTTATGGCCTACCCTGTTCTAAAAGGGCCAGATTAGCAGGGGGTTTTTTTTTCTTCTTTTTCCGTACGGTCCTTGGACCATGCTCTCTTTGATTGATTTACAAGGTGGATCATGTTAAGTAAGAGGCCATGGATGGGCAATCTATAGGCAAGAAGTATAGAAAGTACATGACTAAACGTGGAGAGGGTGGCATTCCTGCATTAACACTTAATTTGGGGATTTAACAATCAAGACACAAATAAAGAGATATCGCAAGTTGAACTACGGAGTAAGTACATACATCGCAGATATTATGGTTCGAAAGCTATGCAAACATAAGCACATTAATCATTACTGGTACCCAGACATGAACAGCTGCACACTCCTCCTCCCACACCTAACACTTAGAAGACAACACTCAACCCAAATCACCTAATCTTACGAAGCCCAATTGGAATCTCATCGTCAACTTTGTGCTGAGGTGCCTCCTCATTCCAGTCCACATTTCGGGTGGAAGCCTTTTGCCGGAAGAAGCGATACTTCTGCAAAAGCCTTCTATAGAAGAAAAGCAAGGCAACACCAATAGCCAATCCAGCCACTGAGCCAACCACAATACCTGCAATAGCTCCTCCTGAAAGACCAGAGCTTTTTTCACTCGTGGTATCTGTGTTCTTCGTTGCGCCCGACGCTCCAGTAGCAGTAGCCCCGGCTGTGGCCGTGGTTGTGGCTGTAACATCGGTAAACTCATCCGACGTCACGTTGAAACAAGGGACTTGGTAGGTGAACTTGCTCGCTGCAATGTACGTGACATCCGCGCACGCGTAGTAGGTTTCGTTTTTATCGGTATCAAAATCTGAGGTGTATTTGATCTGGAAGGTAGCGTTCATTCCCTCTTCTATATCGATAGATGGATTGGGGACAGAGTAGCATTCATGTCCTGGCTTGATGTCAGAAAGAGCAGAGCCGTTAATGAACGACTCGAAGTCGTCATTCGTAGTCGGGTCTAAGGGAGGGTTAGTCTAGATAGATGGTAAGGATGGAGCTGGCTTACTGCTCTTGTGGGAGATCGCAACTTGCACATTCCATGACTCGTCTTGAAGTACAAGTGCGAGCTTGCCGTTGACTACAGTGTCATGTCAGTATATTTGATTTTTGTTTCCGGGTTGTGGATAGATATGATCCTACTCAGTGGAAAGTTTGTTCGGTTCACAGCCCCGGTTGATGAGCCACAGGGCGCATTGTTGTCGTATGCTGCACCCCAGAGACGATCGGGTGGCCACAAAAAGGCAGCCGGGCCCATCTCCGTGCTCGCTTCATCGCCGTGAGCACATAGTCCTCCAACGGCGGAGAGAGCAATTAGTGCGATGGAGTTCCTCATGGTTATATTGAGCGACTTGATCTACTCAAGGGTATAAGAATAGGAATATTTTTGTAGAAAGGTCTTGAAGAAAAATATGGAAAACCGAGACATCGGCGTTTATAAACTTCAAGTCCCCATCAACCTCACTCGCAAACTCCGACCGATATGAGAGCCAGTCTCGAGTGAATTTTTGTCGGGTTCAGCCGACCTCCACTGCCAAGGGGTTTAATAACTGCCAAGCACGTGGCGACCAAAGTTCCCTAGATATTATAGCCGGGAATCCTCTCACCGAAGTTGGACCACTGTTAGGAACCTATTGGGGTTGAGTCACAAGTCACTAGTCAAGACAAAAATCATGGTTCGACGGCTTGCCAATGCAGGGAATTAATTTATTGAAGCCGGAGGAACCCGCGGATAAAGACCGTAGAGGGAAAAACTCAGGATCTAGATCAGATTAGATCAATCAGATAAGATGAGTGGGTCCTCCAAGGCTGTTTTGCTTGCTTTTAGTTGGTTCGCTTTAACGTTTTGACCCGACATCAAGGGTTCATTTGAGACATGGCCATAACAGGTAACCTCACCCGAGAAATTCCCAGTTCCCGGAGGTCTCATACCACTTGGACCGTTCTTGCACCGAAATGAGCATTTAGCCAAGACATTGTGGTTTCTTAGGGAGCATGCACGGGTGAATAAGTAGACACTGAACTGCCGTCAGTTTGGTGTCTGCATCATCAGTCTTTACATTTCTAAATATTCATCTCTACCTCATTTCGTTCGTTAACACCACCATGCATCTTGTCAATGTTGCCGCTTTTGCCTGCGCTGTAATCAGTGCCAGCGCATTCGAATTCCCGGACTTTGTCCCTCTGCACCGACGTCAGGATCCTGGCACTCCTGCATATGAATGCCACGCCAACTGTGGTATGTTACATATCCCCTAATCCTACAAATCACCACACAAGCTGACAGATCAGGTGGCGTAATTACCGCCGGCCGTACTGACGGATACTGTGATACCGATGACTTCAAGACCAAGTTGACCGATTGTTTGAACTGTGCTGTTGAGTTCGACATTTGGAAGTATTACGGAGGGTCTGTGTCCAAGGCTGCCACTGCATGTGGATTGGATGCCACCCCGGTCGAAACGTCTTCCGCCTCGACCGAAGTCTCCTCTACCTCGACCGAAGCCTCCTCTACCTCAGCTGAAGCATCTGCTACCTCGGCCGAAGAGACTTCTACCGCTACATCTGTTAGTGCTACCACTACAGAGGAGAGCGTCAATTCCGCTGTGACAACTGATGCGGTGACCTCCCCTACTGGTACTACGGTCGCTTCAACTTCCGTGAGCCCCCCGCGTGTTTCTGGTTCTTCTCGCCCATCGTCATTGATTCCTTCAGCAACACCTGCTGGAACCTCGGTTGGTTTCTCTTCTACTTTCTTGTGGACTTATAGCTAACTTGGAGTAGACTGCTAGCACCCCTTCCTCCTCCCCTGCCTACACTGGTGGCGCTACGAGTAATGCGGGTAGTGGCCTGGTCTCTGGCGCCCTTGCTGGTTGTATCATTGCAGCCTTCATGTAAACTAAGTTGTACAGTGCCCCTTGTTGGAAAGACGGAGGGTGTAATAATGTTGACGGTAGCCTTGCCGCTTAGTTAGTCACCTTGTATATGGGCAACGGAGTGAAAGTCCCAATAGTAACCAGATTAATACACTTTAGTGCTGCTTCATAGGATCGGCCCACTCCTTAGTCGAATACTGTAGACCTATCTAGCCGTTAGTAATATCCCATCAAATCCATGGATTTTCACAGTAATATTCGAATACGATCTTAGGAAACAGTTGAGAGTAGATACTATTTTACTCCCCATTAAGTCAACCAAGTTTAATGTATAAACGACAAACAGCCATTGCATTCGGCGCTGCCAGAACGTTGAGGTATGCGTTAAATGGTCACAGTAACCCGATGGTCAACAAATATATATTTCGTACGGGGAATTACCAACCACGCCAATAGCAAATTCCTTCATTCACAGGGGGCTTTCCACTGGACATAGGATTGCACTAAAGGCTCTAACAGAGACCCATACATTGATTCATTTAAGACCACCAAAGTCTAAAATCCCTCTCCACCCCTAAGGGGTCAACAACCAAATTTGGGATTCAATGCGAGAATGGAACCTCATTGTTTTCTGCCATCCGAATACCCTCTGCTGTAGCCTCATCCAAATCCTCAACGGGAAGACCAAGTAGCTGATTATCCAGACCGCGCCTAGACTCATAGTCACCATCTCCATTCGCGAAGAACATCCGACTGTACAGCATCTTAGTAAACACATTCCAGTTATGTACCTTCATCCCCTCCTGTCCTTCTTTGAACCTCTCCACAACAGAGTCCTGCGTGATAGTCCAGTCCGCATCCCTGGTCTTGGTTACGCGCTTGACACTTTCAAACATCTCACGTTGAGTCAATCGGAAGCTTGACACATACACAGATCGGTTTCTAAACTGAGACAGGGTGGGGGACTGGTCGTTCTCATCCTCGGGTAGTTCCTTCAGACTTAGCAATTTCGCAATGGCCCGGCCTGTCTGCGGCCAAGTGCTCGTGTTAATAAATACATCGCCCCCATCGTAGAGTGTCAAGCTACGGTTGATGAAATCAAACCCGAATCGATCCGGCCCACCACCCAAGCTAAATTCGTACCAGAAGTTGCAAACGAGGAACAAATAGGAGCTGATGCCCAGACGCGTGATTTCGGCAATGACGCGGTCGCGGTTGGGGGACAGAAGACTATCGTCACAGAGAGAGTTGTTGGCAGCATCGTGCCCGTACCAGTTCGGCTCGATATACGGCACCCCAGCCTTAGCGGCGGCGCGGATGAGCTTGATCATGGTGTCGGGTGGGACCATGACGTTCATAGTGATTAGGAGGACTTGTTGACCACGGAGGACCTCCACGAGCGCCGTGTCATCATCACTGGTATAATCGACGCGAGCAATCTGAACGCTTTCTGGCATTTTGTTGGTGCTGCTGGGGCGGGTGATGGCGGTCACGATGTGCTTGCTGTTTTTGAGAAGTTGGTCGATGAGATGTCTCCCAACTGACCCGCCTGCCTGAAGTTTGGATTATTAGCGACCTCAAAATAGCAATATCAGGTGGATTCACCACTAGGTGAAGTGATCGACGTACCCCGACAATCGCGACATTTTCGATGCGGTTGGTGAAGCCCTCAGGCTGATCCTTGGCGTATGCTACGGCCATCGTTTGTAATCGTTTTGTACCTGATATATCCACGGTCTGAAAATGAGATATGATCTTAGGATTGAATTTATTCCACGTGCGAAGCGACCCTATAGTAAAGAGAGCGAATCTGGTCGAGGCATACCCTCCTGTAATGGCATATACAAAAGAAACGGAGTTAAGAATTTTGGCTAACGGGTCAGGCACGGAGATAAGCTGTGTATCTCTATTGAGATTTGCTTTTAATCTCCTAAAACTAAATGAGCGAACTTGCTTAATTGCAGCCGTGATAAACTCCGTCTTATTTCCGAGTCGTCTTTCGGGTCCAACTAGGAACCCAACCCCCGGCCATGGATAACCCCATTAGATCGCGAGCAGGATCAAAAGCCAAACGGCATGTTGGAATGAACCGTTCCTCTCGATGAATTGAGTTGCACCCTCATGAAAGGTCCTAGCATCATTGTACCAACAAGCTCACCTCAAAGCGTCCAACAAGCACGCGACAACCGTATCGCAGCCTCTCTAACAATCCCCCACCTGGCCATTAGATCCAACAGGTTTCTCCCACATTTTGCCCCTAGCGTAAGATAAATGTTGATTACGGGGAGCAAAAGAGAATATTCGAGATTTATCAAAGATAGTTCAACTTGAACTTTTACTCCCAAATGGCTCGCCATAATCAAACACACGGGTGAAACACAGAATTAGGAATGACAGACAATATAACTAGCATGGCACTACACTATATCGCTCATTGTAACGCCAATATACTACCCTACTCATGAATATTGGCTAGGAGGACATCAAGCCAGTGTGGAGTACGTCCCTTATGGACAGTACCTCTTAATGATACTCCGGTACATAACTTTCATCCTGTAGGCCTTGTGACCTTGGTTATCTAACCCGGCTTCGACCAAAGTTAACCATGCCATCACTCTCGCATCCAGTGGGTCAAGCCCGAGTCCAAATTTAACCCACAGCAAAACCAAACTGCCCCTTGCCTTCAGTGATCTTGAACTGCCACAGCTTCCCTCCATACTTCTGTCGCTTTTTCACGGTCACTGGAAATTTCCCCTCGACTGGACTCATATTCGATGTCGTCGCCGAGTTCATCCTCGGTGGTGCACACCAAAGCTGATCGACTGGAGCAATGTCATATCGCAAGGCGATCATGGCGACTAGTGCCAATATCTCACTTGTAGAAAAATGGCGCCCAGGACAAATTGTCGGGGAAACACCAAATGCCATGAACCCGCCAGTACGCCTTGGATCTTTTCTCTTGTCGCCATTATCATTGACTGTCGTAGTGGATCTCATGAATCTTCTTTCGTTGAACTTATCCGCCGAAGTTCCCCAAGCACTCTGATGCCGGCCTAATTGCTTCGCCGGCATGAAGAGCATGGTTCCGGATCTAAGAAAGTAATTGTCCGCCAACACAATATCTTGCGTCACGAAGCGGATCGTTACCATTGTTGTCCTCATCCGTAGGACCTCCTGGTACATTGAGAGAAGAAGTGGACAATTATCGCAAAGGTACCCCAAATCAATGATGTGCGTACCATCGGGAGCTATACTGAGGGCGTTTTGCTCTATCTCCCCCCGTATCTCCTCGAGCAGCTTCGGCCTGGAGAAAAGCTCAAAATGAACCCAGAATGCAGCAGGAACGGTATTTGTCAGTAATCCTACAATCAGTGGCACCTCCGCATACGCTATTTCTTCGTGGGTAAGTCCAGCCCCGAGGAATGATCTGTACCGCATTGCTAGGAGGTCGGAGCCGCCTTCATGGCCTGCAAGATCGAAGTAATCTTTGAACGCAGCACACAAACGCCTGCGCGCCTTCCAGGCTTTGGGAGCAATTAGCCATGGCACAATATCGACTAGTAGTAATGCCGCATTTCGTTCGAGTTCCCTATCCAGATATTCGAGTGATTTCATAGCCAAATATAGGTGCGATAAACTCACCAGAAGGTGTCTTCCATGTGTCGATTTTGGAAGGGGTTCAAATTGCCGTATGTAACATTTGTACTAATAATGGTAATGGCATGCCGAAGCCATGCATGCAAATCAGTAGAATTGTAGTTGCCCATGCCGTCGATGATAGGTAGTAGCTGCTGAAGCATGATCCGGTTCATTCTGTCAAGGGATTTCCCAGCAAGGACGGGTGTCGTATCATGCACAATTTTGGAAAGTAGACTGGGACCACGGTTTTGATCACACAGATGGACGAATTTCTCGCGTGGAGTTTGACACATATGCTTCTGCGTGAACTTCACCAGCGGTTCCAATGTAATGGTTGTGGGATGCTTTTGAGCAGCCCGCATGATAGTAGGTGAGGATGTCACGAAGACCTTGAAGGAGAATATGTTGACTGCAAATATCGAGTGCTCTGGATGTTTTTCACTGTCCCATATTCCGCATTAGTTTAGATTGCCCCTATGATAAGATAGGTAACTTGCCATAACATGTTAAAATAGCTTGGGCCATGTTGGATGAGCCCCATCAGATGGCCCACAAGTGGGATCTCGCTCGGTACCGACGGAGGCTCGTGACTTTGGCTGTGCATCATTGTATACGATGCAGATAGAACCACGACCACCACCACACCAATGATTGCCATAATATGAAGGCCTAGCATAACCAAGATAGTTTAGGGAGTCTGACTTAAGCAGAAGTTGAGGAATTCCTAGGGATACAAAACGCAGGGCTCAGAGTTTGTGCGGGATATTATAAGGGAGTCTTGCACACTTACACGCTTTGAAGTGTCCCAAATAGGTGGTCGCTGACCGAATGATGTTCCACAAAACAGAGAAAGTACTTGTTTTCGACTGACAACAGCTAATCTCCCCGTTGAGTGGTTTTCATTCATTTTTGTGTGGAATCTGTTGCTCAGGTCCGTCGGCGAAATAGCGTCTGCTAGTTTCATTTGTACTACCTAATAGAATCCCGAGAATAGAGCCCAGGTAACTCATTAGGACCTCCGATTTCTGAGAGGCAATACCTCCTTCAACTTGGATAAATTCACGTGTTTCGAGTATGTTTGCTTGGCCCAGACGCCATCCATATTGACGCAAACCCGGGTATATTTCGCTCTGATATTATGTACATAACAAACAGGCCAAGTCATCAAACCATCGCGAGCCAGTTTATGCAACCGATTTTTCAAGCGCAGCCTGCTCCGCCAAAGCCTTTAACGATCTCTTTTCTTTTTCAATGCCATTCCGTCGCTGAGCCGTGTCACACAGCTCCAGGTTCCCACATTCACATTCCCCATCCCTGAGCCAGCGATAAGTGATACTCCACCGCTTCCCCCGCGGCCGCACCGTCCCATCCGGGAGGGTATCATTCTTCCGCTTCCTAATACCATGCGTCCAATGCAGCCTCGAGTCACCGCTCATTTGCATCATGCTCCGCGGGGTCAAATCAACCTCGATGCGTTCCTCGCCGCGGCGGAATATCATCATCGCCGGCGCACCAAGAGATAGCGCGTAGAGCTGGTCATATGGCTTGTGTGCATCTACATGGGGAGGGATCCCCGCGCCTGGAGGATAATATTGCAGACAGACCTGGTCTGGGGGTCGGTCCTCGGTTGTTGGAATGAGAGGTTTGAGCCATTCTGGGAATTCCTTGTATGGAATCTCGGGGTCTATCCCGAATGTTTTATAGTCGAAACTGTAGCCGTAATGGAGTGATATCCGGCCAGAGCGGTCAGGCCATTCTAGCTCGTTGGTAAAGACAGAGATCAGTCGTTGCTCGTGTTCGGCATCGATGAAGTCTTCTTGCCAGAAAATACCGTATGGCTCAGTAGACAACTCGTGGAAATTGCTCCGATCTTCCATTACTTTTTTAGATTCTGCCTCGGATCTTGAAGGTGGGAATAAAGTGCGTGGGAGCTTTGCGCGCGATGACCTTCAAATTCTGATTTTGTGAATGGGTGTATTTATTACCGGTATCAATACAACACTACCCAAATAATTTGCGCATTGTCTTGAAATGTTTCGCCATTAAGCGTTCTATGCTGTATTGCAAAATTACCATCACGATCAAAATGCCTAGGTGGTTTGTTTGTTCGGCATCAAGAGGATTTACGTCAAATATGCATGTTTGCTCCAAAATCCACAGAATCAGAATGGCTGCATGCCACTTTAACTGGATATTTCTAATTAATTCAATCCAATTTAGTCTAATATCTAATATTATGCTCAATCCGCCGGCTTTGGCGTTATGTCTGATAGGGAACGCCGATTCCGGTACAAGGAAAATGAGGCAATCCATAAGAGCGTTAATAAAAAGCTCTACATGCACTGATATTTGCATTACCGTCTACTAGATTCTATCAGTTACAAGAGTTCAAGGTAAGTCCAAACAACATAGTATACAAGGAACTCCGTAGTGACGTTAGTAGTTGAAGCTCAACCCGGAATTCCGGCTATGAGACAGTTGAGCCAGAACAAGAATCTACTATTTAAAGAAGATACATATATCTTTTGGAATATATTTCAATTACTCACAAATCCAAAATCATGTACGACATCATCCTTTTCGGAGCAACTGGGTTTACTGGAAAGCTGTGTACACACTTTATCGCGCAAAATTATCCTTCAGCCACCCAATGGTGCATTGCAGGGAGGTCACTGTCTCGTCTAGAGGCAGTGGTAAACGAGTTAAAAGAACTCTTCCCAGATAGAGTACCACCAGGTATGACTCCACCGTTGATTGCCATTATCCAGATCGGATCTGACATCCACAAAGATATTGAGATTATAGAGCTCAATTCTTCAAGCCTTAGCCCCCTGGTACAGAAAACCAGGGTGGTAATCAACGGGATCGGGCCATTTCATCGTTTCTCTACTCCAATTGTGGCAGCATGTGCTACGCTTGGCACGCATTATGTTGACTTGTAAGCCATACTCTATGTCCATTAGGAAATCACTCAAGCTCATTGTTTAAAGTACCACAGAGATTCCCTGGATTCATGAAGTGATTGAAAACTATGGCGAAGTTGCTCGACAGAGCGGGTCATTGGTTAGTACAAGTGAGATTCATGGCTGAAGCATAGCTTGGAGCTGACATTAGGCAGCTGATACCCGGCTTGTCAACATCAACCCCGTCGGATATTACTGCATGGCTAATCGCAAGCAAAATCCAAGAGACCTACTCTACCGGCACAAACGAGATCATTAGTTCCGGAAAGCTTGAGTATGATCACCCCGTAGTCTCTTTGGGAAATTGGCTGATTCTTCGTTCGCAGTATCAACGCAATGAGCGCCGGGTCTCTGAACACTGTCCTTGACACGTTCGAGACATATGGCTCTGGTTGGTACCTATTTGGTGACTCGTCAATATTGTCTCCACCACTTCACCGAAAGACTCAGAAAGTACCCTGGATCACACGTCTGCTTGGTTATCGACACACACAAGAGCTGGGTTCTTTGGCGACATCTTTCACAGGACCAGGAAATCAGGCTGTTGTTTACCGCAGTGCCTCTCATGAACCCGATCTTTACGGACCTGACTTTCACTTCGAAGAGTATCTCCCAGCGAATGGTGTACTATCCGCTGCTTTTGTGCACTTCCTCACCAAAACCTTTCTCGTCCTCCTATCCATTCCTTTCATCCGTTGGCTGATGAGAAGATTCGCATCGGGCATGGACTCGGCTCCTGACATAAAACAGCTGCGGGTTGTGGAGCGGGCAGAGTTCCGTGCTGTTGGAAGCGAGAGTGGAGGGGCCAAACCTACAGTTTGGGCATCCTTTGCACGGGAAGGGGCACTGTATGAGCTCACTGCGCTTGTCACCTGTGTCGGAGCGAGGGTACTGCTTGATCACAAGATAAATGCCGACAAGGTGGGAAAGGACGCTCATGGACATGGGGGAGTGGTCACACCATCATTTTTGGGGATGGAATATGTGGATGGATTGAAAGATGCTGGAATTAAGATTGAAGTTGGGTTGTTGTAAAGGAAGACTTGAAGTTACTGGCCACTCATCAGTGTTTGTGCTGTTTGTATTTGTCCCTTGGGCATTAGGCTTTGATTTTTGTTTTCGGTCCGCTATGCATATAGAAAGTTAGTCTCCATAGAATTTCCAGCGTTGCGCCTTCCCTTTCTGTACCAATTTATGTTATCATCAGATAAGCTTATTCCAAAGCCTAAAATTCCAACCTTCGCATTCCAAGATTGTTTGTCAGGCTCGCTGGTCACTTGGGCAGATAGTAACAACTTGTTCAATTTCAAAGTTGTTTTCTCATCCGGTTTATTTCTTACCATTTCTATCTTTGCTTTGTTTGGTATGTCTCTTAATTTATCATCTAAATTGACTTCCGAATATCGCGATGCTTATCTCTCAACGCGGAATCTACGGTCTACCTAGAATACCTGACAACCCGGAACTCCGAGTGCTGGTGAGCGCATAGTGGGGCTTGATTACTTCCGCATGGTCTATTCCACGTCTGTTTAAATACAACTGGAACTTCCCTATCGTCTTACTCAATCATAGATCTACTAAATCCTAAATCTTTCGCCATGTCACGCAAAGCCCATAATATTAGCTCTGAGCGTTTGTTGGTAAGCAACCCTTTGCATACCGTCCCAAACAGAATTCTCATATAAGAAAGTAGATCACAGGCGTCACTGGTTACATCGGGTTCAAGACGCTCACGATTGCTCTCATAAGAGGATACCGTGTTCGCGCTGTCGTCCGAAGCGAGCACAATGTCAACGAACTAAAAGAAAAGAGTACGATTATCGCACAGAGTCTCCATAAAAAGCAACTCGAGTTTGTTGTTATTCCAGAGTTTCTTGAAACAGATGCAATTTTCCAGTCCCTCGAGGGAATCACTGTCATCATTCACCTTGCATCGCCTTTAGCAATTGAGGTGTGCATACACAACGAACTAGGCGTTTCTTTCAACTTACACATATTTTGGCAGACCGATGATTACGATGTTGGAGTTGTTAAGCCAGCCATCTCTATGGTGACTACTGTTTTAGAAGCAGCCACTCGAGTGACATCAATCCGCCGCGTAATCTTGACATCTTCATGTATGCAATTCCTCGCCCTCATTATAATCTAGGGAGCTAAATCCTTCCATAGGCGTCACCCTAATCCCATTTGAATGGAATCTCAACCCCGACAGCCAACGATTGTATATAGGTTAGTCTTCTACGCTATCCATTAATAGTGGCATGCCAGCTCATGATCATTTTCAATTTCTAGCGGAGGATGTGAATACCAGTGTCACTGGTCCTTTCTCGACTGCAATGGAAGCTTATTGGGCATCCAAAGCTCTCGCAAGAGTTGCGACCAAAGCGTTTGTTAACCATGCGCGCACGAAATTCGATTTTGTCAATCTCCTACCATCAGTGGTAATTGGACCAGACGACCGCCTTGATGCAGATCCAACTGCAACGGTTGACAGCCTCCTCCAGGGGACGCGGGCAGCAGTTCTTGCTCCAGCACTGACATCCTCGCTTAACTCTTCATTCCCCTATGTTGGAACACCAGTTCATGTTGCCGACGTTGCGCGCGCACATGTTGATGCGGTAGATGATGGTTTGGTCCCTGGAAATTCTGAGTATATTCTCTCTTCTGATACTCCAGATGGAGTGCTCTGGGATAGGGATGTTCAAAATGTCTGTAGGAAGTTCTTTTCGAAAGAGGTGACTAATAAAAGCCTGCCGCTGGAAGGGTCTTTGACTGCAATAAAATGGAGGCTGAGTGCCCAAAAGACGGAGGAAACATTTGGTTGGCAGTTTACCGGGTTCGAGGAGACTGTGAGACAACTTCTTGCGCAGTATTTGCAGCTTAAAGACAGGTCATTAAAATGATTCTGATTTGGTATAATGAGTTTTATCAAGGACCTTTAAGTGCAAATAGAAACAGTCGTACAATGAATAGAAAATGCACCACTTAGTGCTCAACTTGAGTTCATTTTCTTGACTTATAACATCAGCAGCTGATATAACAATTCTAGTGTGAGTTAATTCAGGTATAATAACTCTATTATCAACTTCTAACATTCTAAGTTGACCTTGTTCTAAATCACTTTCTGGCACTATATATGAATCAAATTCTATAAATTCGTCATCTGCATTAGTAAAATCAGGATATTGGTAACTTCAATATCATTGATGAGATTACATGAAGTTTACATAAAGAATAATAATGCTCTATAAAAAGCGTGATTAGTAAAAATTAAATTGCAGACTTTGCGCTATATTATCTATTTACCCTGAGTAGCAAGACATACAGCATTCAACTGAGGTGATAACCTATACTTTTGATGTGGCATGAAACATGAACCTATGAATACATGAATACATATCTTTTGCTTTTGTGGAAAGGCTGATCCACAGGCATTTACTTTGGAAGATACACAGCCTCCACGTTATTTCCATCCAAATCAATTACAAAAGCTGAGTAGTACGGCTGCCGACTCATTTCTTTCCTGATGCCTGGACCTCCATTGTCTCGACCGCCATGCTGCCTGAAATGGGGTTAGCCTTTGGTCATACATAATGCGAGTACCTAGGTAGTCTGTGATCTCCAAATAGTGGGTATGACTTACAGTGCCAGCTGGTAGAATTGATCCACTGCTTCACGACCTAGTTTGTGTGAATTAGCAAATCTTCAGAAGTTCAATGTTGCATATGCTCACTTGGGGCATCAAACGCGATGTGAGTTGGCAAAGGTTCTTTTTCCTCAGGCAGCCTTTTGAGCCAGAAGTAAGGATAGTCACTGCCATAGCCTATGAGAGCATCTTTTTGTACACGAATCATCTCGGTATACCCGATCGGCTGCAGGATAGTGCGATAAAATGATCGCAGTGGCGCGTACTTGGCAGCAGAGGCCCAAAAGAAAATATGATTGACTGTCATTTTCTTCAAATTTGACTGGTAATTCACTAACAGTTCACAGATAGTTTACCTAGAGTTTACTTGGGTGGGTGCGTCAGTTTATATGTCACCTCCAAACCTTGATCATATCGGTCCCCACTCAACCCGGAGTTCCGAGTTAAATTGAACTTCATTTCATTCAACACCCACCTCCTTTGCTCCAACAGCAAGCTCCGCAATCAAAATGAAATCCACTGAGAAAAACTCCGAGAAAAACTCCGACTGCCCGTTCTGTGCCACTCAGTTCAGCCACCGTACGTTTGGATCCTTTCTCGTTTGAGCCTGGAACTAACACCCCTACAGGATCGTCGCTTATCCGCCACCTAAAGAACAATTGTAATAAGTCTCAACGACAAACTCTGAGACGCAAGTCATGTCATCAGTGTGTCGCGGATAAAGCCAGGTGCAACCTGAAACGTCCTAGTTGCTCTCGATGTTCTGTGCGGAGCATACCTTGTCAATATATCAACGCAGATGCGACTGACACCCCGGAAGCCGAGAATAACGAGTTCACAGTCAATGATGATACCCCAAGAGTTTCTGTATCGGAAACATCACCCATGACCCAGCCATATGAGTTACAATCAATTTTCGATCCTAATTTATTCGATTCCTTTTTCTCGGGTTCAGGCTCTTGGGATCCGACACAGCCCATGAGCCTTTCTTTACGTTCTCCGCAAGCAGCCAACACGGAGCTCTTCTCTTTGAATACTAGCATTGGATTTGACACACCAGATCTAATCCGAGCTACCCCACCCCCAAATCCTTTGTCGGGTTCGCCGGCGGACACAAATTCAATAGCCCTAGCGAACCATAGCATGGAACTCATCTTCCGAGCTCTTCGGACTTGGCCAAAAATGCTCGCCGAAGAGTTTCAACTTCCTCCTTTATTTCATTCTACCCAGATTGCACCAAATAAAACACTACCATCCCCACTAGCGAACTGTATAACCTTGACCAAAATGTGGCATGGGCAATGTGAAGGCGCAGAAGACATGGTGCGGAAAACGATTTTAAAAGAACTAGACAGCATCATAGATCAGGTCAGTTCTTCCTTTCCCTTTTCTTCGTCGTTCATACTAACCCGAAATTGGGCCGCAGTCTGACCAACTCGACGAGACAACCCTATTAGCAGCCTTACAAGCAGTGGTCATATACACAATTATTTTGATCTCCCCATCAGCAAATTCCCCGCGCCCCTTGATCGACCACAGCATTATCTTTCGCAAAGTAGAGCTGCTGGTCTACCATGTCGTCCACGGAGGCCTTTTCCTACCCGAAGAAAGAACACAAATGAGACCATCATGGGAAGCCTGGATACAAGTAACATCAAAGCGCCGTGCGATCCTTGCTTTGTATCTTCTTCACTGGGCATACTCTGTGTTGCATAAGGTCCCATGTTTCGATTGCAGGGATCTCGGGTTCATGCCTGCGCCAGCGGCAAAGGTGCTTTGGCAGGCGCAAACAGAACAAGAATGGAACACTCGTTATATCCATTGGCTATCGCGATGGAGTGGCAAGGGTTATCTGCAAGCCGAATTTGGTAATATCAGATCAGGCGTCGTCATGGATTTGCGGGCGGAAAGGTGGTTGGGGGAAGCCGATGAGTTTGGGTTCCTGATGATATCAATTGGTATGTGGCTATTCGAGTGGTGACGAACGATAACTCCATACTGACTTTTGCAGTCAACGCTAGTGACTTTGATCCGCCGTCACTCAAGCCATTAGCTTGTTGAGTCACAATGAATACAGTACAAGACCAGACCGATCTCTCACAAACGTGACAATATAGGCATTCCTATGCATGATAGAGCTTCTTGTTGGATTGAATCGTTTTTTGTTTCTTTGCACTCATGCGGAGAGCTAGAAATGGAAGCGCTATGTTAGGCGCCTTACAGCCTAAGGCTAGACAAGTTTCTTTGTTTCTCATTGATCTCCTTGTTGCGTAGACATACCTTCTTCTTCTCTATAACTACACACAAATTCATGGTTCTTCCCCCCGCTCCTCTCTCCCTCGTTCTTATGATGCCGATGAGATTGATAAATGCTGGCTGAATAGGGCCGCGTGGCTCATAAGTTGTATGCTGCACACGGCCCGACAGGCAGGTTGGCCTGCCTGGTCTTATAGGGGACTGGAACGCTTGATGAATGCAGATATGATACCAATCATAGAAAGGACCTGTCCGTTTAAGGTCCTGAAGGGAAATGGGAATGAGGATGTTTTATTACCTGATAGCAGGTCTCCCTGAAAATGATCCCACACTCCGTTTTATGTTCTCCCCATCAGTGTCTCTCCCACTATCCTGGGCGCTTATGGGGTCGATCCTTGAGGGGAACCCTGTCTGTTGCCTGTCGCTTCAACGGTCTACATTGCCAATTTTCCCTCGTTCTGAATGGCCATGGATTCCGATTCTGGGCAAATGTGCGGAACAGGCATCCGGGATTCGGTCCTCGATCGTGCACAACCTCGGCCGATCGACCAAATGGTACATATGATGCAAACCAACCAACTAAGTTTTCAGTGAGCACCGACGCTTGCGCTTAGCCCTCGAACCCGACGAGCTTCATCTAAAGCACACCGAACTTACACATGAAATCTTTGAGAACCAGGCTTGTCTTCTTTTCATTCTCGATTGTCCCGAATATGGCATAAGGCAACAATGGTTGGATAAGTCGCTGAATAAGATCTCCGTGGGATAATGGCTCATTCTGTTGCGATGACTTCCCGCCAACGCCAACCCTATATATATCCTATAACTATGCCTACTGGTGGGGAAAATGCCCAGCAATATAGCGAGCTGTTTGAGTGGATCGGGCACCGAACATCGATTCAATTACATGCTGCATATTTCAAGCCCACCAACGCAGCTACCGCCAACTTCCTAAGACCGTTTCTGAATCTGGATCATCAAGTTCAACAGTTTGCCATCTGTCTGATCAATGAGCTCCGTGGCAACATGCCAGCCTCTCCACCGATGCGTGTTTGGTTCCATCGAATACGAGAAGGTCCCAATCTTTACCTCGCAAACGAATTTATGTATGGGAAGTCTCTCAGCGAGATCTTGTATCAGATTTACCACTCTTTTCGCATCATCTTTACCCGCCATGAGACTATGATGGATGGTGTTCACATTTTCCTTTACTCTCCGACACTGAGAGCAAAATCGAAATGCCAGCTGCAACATTGATGGAAGCTAAAATAGACAAGTCCAGAGGCTTGGAAAATTAATTCGTGTGAAATGGCAACAAGCGGCAAATACTCGCAACCATAAGATTCCAGAACCTAACCTCGGGGACTCCTGTGTTTCTAATCAGTCAGGAGGCAGACGAGCTCCTTCTGGTCGTCGGAACATTCGGATAGAAGTACCTTAACTACTCCTCAGGCACAATACTGTTGAACATGCAGGGTATGCATACTTGTTTGTTTACAGGCTGAGCCTTACTTTGGATGGTTTTGGACAAGACACAAGAGCCGTGGATTGTTAGTTTCAATAATTGACGACTTCCTGTTCTACTTTCTCCCCACGTATTATTCACTACAACAAATAGAAAAACGAAGCCCGCATCAAAGCACTTCCTGGCGATGGAAAGTGTCGGTCCCTGGACGATCTCAAGTACAGAAGAGCTAGAAACATTTGTATCCATCGCCCTCGCTATTGCTGTGAAAGTGATAGAAGACTGTTGTAGACTGTCTATCCATATCTGTGGCCTGGAAACACGCGAGGCCTGGACTCCGGCAGCGGCCAAAATCTACGGTCGGAAAGTTCCGGCAGAGGATGTCACAGCAACTAAATTTCGCACCGGTATGGGCAATTCCGTACACACACCGGAAGCAGGGGAGCTGGGAATATGGGTGCCGATCATATTCAGAGGGCACGTCACGGGGGTGAGAGGGTCGGTGAAACATGGCCTGGACTGTCGGTAGGCCGTCCAATGAAGGCGGCTCGCGGGGAGCGGTAGGCATCCTAGCGAACGAAGGATGAGAAGCGTTGGGTTCCGGTGCTAGGGACATCCTATTCTGTGAGAAACAGCCAGGATTCTCTATGGCCGACAAGTAGACCTCATGAGTCCCTGGGAGGGCTGGTGTGGAGCTGAAATCTAAGAAGTAAATGGATGAGTTGCCAGAGTTACCGGAGGTGAACCATTGCATGTGGGACCGACCTTGTACACTATCGGGTAGCTCGAATAGGATCAGAAGATCTGAGGGTATTGAGAGTAGCGTAGTTTATCGGATAGAATCGGTGAACAATTGGCGAAGTGTAGTATAGAGTGTGGTGTAAAGTGCAGTGTCGAGAACACAATGCAGAGATAAGGGTTAACAGAGAGCAGAGGGTCGAGAGCGCAGTACGGTGGTGACGGAGCTCATTCCTTATTATATATCGCCCTCACTATTTCTATGGAATTGTGAGCCGACTTATCCACTGGAATATTCACATCTCTGTCGTTGATAAACGTTGACAGCGGGCAGTGATTTCCCACGATCGCGAAGGGGTCCCTCCTCAAACAACCTTTTTGCTTCCACTGGCGAAGCTTTCTATTGCAGGAAATCAAAAGTCTGTTTTTCTCGCATCATAGGATGTTACCTACCTAGGTATGAAGGTATCGGGTTCATATCGGGAATGCCGCGTGGTTCGATCTGGTAGTTCGCACCCGCTATTGTGGAATCCAGTTCCAGGGGCCGCATCAAATTTGGACAGTCCCTTTTGAGCTGCCTGATGTATAGATCACCCCTTTAACGGCGCCCATGGTTGGAATGGGATGTGTTTTGCTTGCAGGCTGATTAGGCTTCTAGGTTGCTTTGCCATATTTCGTCATTTGATGAGACAATAGAAATAGGGAAATAGCACAGATATGAATCGAGATCAAACTTTTTTTCAATAAAGGGATTACCCGGGGGTATAGAGAAATTGGATATATGTATAGATGGGAAACTAAAAGAAGTAAAAGAAGTAAAGGAAGTTGGGAAGTTGGGGGCTTTATATGTCTTGTAAGACTTCGTTTGATACGGCGTTCTGGCAGTGTTTTTTCAACGTATTTTTCAGACACCATCTTGTATTTTATAATCTTTTATAACTTGGGACAAAGAAGATTTATTTGGATTGGCTGTTATCTACATCTACCTACCTAGGAAGGTAGGCTACCCAAGTTCTACATGGATAATGGCCACATAAAGGTCCGACTATTCTTCGATATAAATCGGTTTCCTATAGATCAATGAATCAAATTAAGTATTATAAATAATTTAGAAACAATAGCACCAAAGCCCCAAGGCGCATGGGATAAGGGATATTTAAAGTGAATACTAGCCAACGAAACCATTGAAAGCTGAGGTCCATATACACTAGCCCAGGTCGATTCCGACTACCTATGGAGTAGACATTTTCACATCAAGCTGAACAATGCTACACTGTGTTCGAAATGCAACATCGTGCCCCGCACGGGTTGAATGATAAACCCCCACTCCGTTGATAGGCAATCTTTAGTGCGGGGGTATATGGAGCCTGGGGGCATATCTCTACCCCTTGCATCCTCTCGTCACCTTATAAATTGCGACACCCCTGCCGTCCTACCCAACCTCTCAAAATTCAAACCCAGATATTGACCATCACCAGCACCGAACTAGCATTCAGCCTCATTCAGTCCCACGATTTCGAATTCAACATGTATTCCCCCAAAGTCGGCGATAGGGTCGATACCCTCGACACGCCATCCATGATCGCAGACCTCGATCTCGTCGAGGCTAACATCAAGAAACTGATGGACAAACTGTTACCAACTGGCCTCGATATCCGCCCCCATTTGAAAACCACAAAAAGCGCCATCCTAGCCGGCAAGATGGTCAAAGCGGGGGCAAAGGGAGGCTGCGTGGCCAAAGTGAGCGAAGCTGAAGTCATTGCTGCGGCCGGATTCGACGACTTGTTCATCACCTGCGAGATTATCGGCCCCGCAAAAGTACAACGGCTGGTGGAACTGTACCGTAAACATCGCAAAATCAGGATAGTGGTTGATAGCGAAGCTGGCGCAACGGCTATTGATGAAGCTTTGGCGAAAGCCGGTATCGACGAACCAATCTCGGTTTTGATTGACCTCGATGTCGGGCTCCATCGCACCGGTGTCCTGCCAGGTGATCCAGCCATGACCCTAGCAAAACATGTACAGGGTCTGAAGCATTTGAAACTGATCGGGCTCCACGGCTATGAGGGTCATTTGCAACATTTGCATGATAAGGAAGATCGCAAAAGTCAATGTCTGCAGTCCATGGAGACCCTCACTAATACCGCAGACGTGCTGCGGAAGGCAGGCTTCAACATCGAGGTCGTCACTACAGGTGGAACTGGAACGGCCGAGTTCTGTGCCACCGTACCGGGTGTAACTGAGCTTCAGCCTGGATCGTTCATTTTCATGGATACGGATTACCGAAATGCCGTGGGCACATTCTATTCCAACAGTCTTACCATTCTCTCAACTGTTCTGAGCAAACAAGGTCCTCGGTCGGTCACAATCGACAGCGGGTTGAAGTCATTGACGACCGATAGTGGCTTGGCAGAGTGTAAGGACCCCAGATACACTTATGGTGTTCTTGGTGATGAGCATGGGTCACTCAGTTGGGAGGAGGGTACCCCAGCGCTTTCGGTTGGAGATCGCGTCGAGATGGTACCGAGTCACATTGACCCTACAGTCAACTTGCATGATTTCTATTACGCCTATCGAGGAGGTGTAATTGAAGAAATCTGGCCGGTCGACTCCAGAGGCAAGGTACAATAGCTGCCCAGTCAACATGTGGGTTTCTGGGAGACTTCAAAAACACGAGAAACTACATAGAACGGTTGTCTTGCAGCCAAATATCCTACGATCGCCGATCATCAAACTACATGAAATGAGAGTATCTATTCATTATCTATGTAACAACATGCAATCCTCGATTGTTGCACAGCCTGCTCTGAAGACTCTGCTCTTTTCAAATAAAATCCACAACCCAAACGCCTGGACAATGATCGACGCCCCACATACATCAATTCGGGGACACATTAAAAAAGAGAATTGCGCTTGACAAGCAAACATATCACGAAGTCTGATAGACCTTGAAGCTACCGAATTCCCAGTACGCGGTCTCGAAACTAGTCGCGTTATCCCGCACAAATGTTGTGCAGTTGCCAGGACAGCTACTCTGTGTAGTATAGTACTTGCTCGCACCAGCCCAATCACCACACAAAGAGATATTAATAATAATACTCTGGTTCTTGAAATGAGAACCGATGTTGCAATCCGTGCTGGGGAAATCTGCAAATGCCGTTCCCCAGGTGGATGGATCTGGACTGCCCGAAGTGATATCGGAGGGGATATTAGAGCGGACCCATTGCCATACGCGAATACCGGCGTCGCGGAGTTCCATCGCATAGACCTAAGAGGGGTGGTTATTAATAAATGACTTTGAATAGTTAGGAACACCGTCACTTACTCCGCCACCGTTGCTGTTAAACTCAGGACCGTAAGTACTCGAAGTACCCTTCACGCCACAGCCCGTATAGTCATTTGCTTCGTAATAACAGTTCTCGTGATCCACAGAGCCAGTTTCCTTTCGTTTAACGCCCATAGTGCAGCCTTCCGATGTGTGAAGCGTTGATTGAGTTCCAAAGGTTCCAGCATTGGTTGCTTCCACAACATCAATTTCTCCGTGCTCGGGCCAGTTACTGGGGTCTGTCAGCCACAGGGCTGGCCATGTACCACATCCGTACGGGGTGTGAATAACATCGAAGATGAAAAGCCCATCGGCATATGTGTTGTTGGATGTGACCCGCACGGATTGACGTCCGTTAGCAGCCTCCGATCCACTGTATGTCGTGTCCACCTTGAGCACCGCGGAGGTGTTTGTAGCGGAGGTTAGATTAAGCCATGTAGCTGCAGCTCGATCTATGTACCTGGATTACACGTTAGCTGATTTGCTTGGCCGGGGTTTGACATGTAGGAGTCGTACTGAACAAATCCATTGGTTGGGTCTGTGTCAGTAAAATATTCAAAGTTGTCGAAGAAGGACGTTCCCGAAAACTCGTCTTTCAAGCTGTAGTCTAGTTTCGAATAATTAGGGTACCGATTGGCGCGCACTCCTAGAACAGCACCAACGACAACTGCCACAATCACCGCGACAATGCCGGCGGCTAAAAAAATCTTCTTCATCAGGGACCATCCCCGTGGGTCCCATTTGGAATATTGATCTGTGGGGTAATAATCCTCGTGCATCTTGCAGGGTAGATGCCTAATTGATATGTAGGGTGTTGTATGCGCCAAAAAGCAGCAATAAAACAATCACGCCGGGCTAAACAAGTGAAGAATGCAAAATATCAAAACCAAAGCGAATTCAAAACAATGCAGAATGAGAAATAAAAAGAAAGAAAAAAAATGTCATCTCACTTCCAAATTTGCTGCCTTGGAGACAGGCCACGCGTAAGATAAGTGGGGCGATTGGCAGCGGTCCGGGCCCAACGGACTTTACCAAGTACATATATCCACTTACAATCATTTGAGATATCTCTGAGTCACTATAGATCCTTACTATATATATATTTAGTTAGGTGATTGGTTGCCATCTCCTTTAATATAAGCCTATCGGGTCGTCAGACGTTGGTTAATGACTATATACCTTGATGCAAAAAGCCCGCCCTTGAAACTTTCCCTGTTTCCTTAAAAGATGCTAGCGACATGTGCTATCAAGATCTATCTGAGATCAAACTGTGGTCGACTAGACTGCAAATGGAAAAATGCAGCTCCTCCCTCGGCAAAAACACGCACATCGGTGTCCCACAGAACCTGGATCATACTATGATATTCCAGTCGCTGCTTCGCTGCATCCTTCATTACATTCAATTTGAACCAAAGCAAACCTTGTGATATCAAGTTTATTAATAATTACATGCTTCCTATGTAGGTAAGAATAGAGGTGTCCTATTTACAATTTCCAAACCCCGAATCCAGAACCTCGCACCTAAGCCCCGCGGATACCCTTGAAAATATCGAGGGTATGCTTCCAAACTGATGCCCTCGTACCATCCGCACGGTAGCCTTCCAAGACCTTCTGGTTACTCACGGTGGCCGAATCAGAACCAACCAAGTAACAACCAGACCCCCGAACACCATCCGAGCCAATCGCAGTATCATTGCCTCCCTTTGATCCTCTGGCGGCGAAACTTGGGTTGGTTCCCGCGTAGGTATGTCTCTCACCACTCTCTTCCAACCCAACAGTCATCGGCGATAACAAAAGGAACAATCCACTAAGAGCAGTCTTCATAAAAAATCCATTATCACGCATTATACTTGTCTTCACAATGCCTGGATATGTGTGAACAAAGGAGATTGATGGATGCGATGAGGCAAGCTCTTCCATTGACAGCGATGTCATGGTGATGGCATGATTGGCGCAGTTCCGTAGAGAGTAGTTGTTCTTCAGTGACAGATCATTCAAAATCAGGGGTGCATTTCCGCGGGCATCGAGAACAGACAGGACACGCGATAGACTGCGCTGGCCGGAGGCTGCGCCTTGAGCGGCATTTGATAATTGGGGGAGCAGATTGTATAAGAAACGCATGCGAGAGTAGTAATGGAGACTGAGTTTCTTATCCAATCCTTCATCGGTCTCTGAGATTTATTCATTAGAAAGGTTGATCAGTGGCCGCGAAAATAAAAAGAATAAAACATACCATCACGCCCCTTGGTAGTCAAAATACCAGCACTCAAAACCAACAGATTAATCTTGTCCTCCTTGGCTTGAATTTCTTTGCATGCCTCGTCTACTTCCTGCAGACGCGAAACATCACCCTTGATGAAATTGATTTGTCCATCTGGATTCAAAGCGCGGAGATCCTGGATAATCTGGGAAGCTCGAGACTCGCTCCGTCCGACGAGATAGACGCGCGGAGAAACAGCATATTTCACAAAAGCACGGGCGGTACTTTCGCCGATTCCACTGGTGCCACCAACTAGAGTGATGTCAATGATCGTCCCGTTCCCATGCTAGGGATGACGAGTCCTACCGAAAACTGCCACCAGGTTGGGGCCATATTCTTTGATAGCAGAGTTGCTGTTTTGTATACTTTCGAGCGACACCATAATTTTTTGTATTTGGTATTTTTAATGAACAGAGAGAGGAGGTCAGCTTTGAGGTCATCGGCGGAGTCACTAATTCACCCGATGCCGATTGCTTATCGCCGCAAACCCCGAAGCCGACTATTCCACACCGCATGCCCAGGTGCATATGTACATAGTTTTTGCATTACACCCTTGCCAAATTCTGTTGCGACTTTGACCTCCTTGTTAAAGATTCTCGGTATATTGCATGGCAAATTTATATAAGGCGAAGCAATCGCATTGTTGAACATCCTCGGTATATTGCACGGTGAAATGCGAAAAAGCCTAATAATAGTCGTGCCAAGCCCACTAACACCGTTGTCATCATCGGGACCCTTGGCGAACCAGCCAAACACAAGATCGTTGATATACTGTGACAGCGGGGTCAATTTTTTGCGCTTGGGTTCCCAGCCTAGTGTCTTAATGCCTTATGCATTAATGTGCGTAGTGATATATTCAACAAGATTCCCATCTGAGCTGCTCTCGCACAAACAGCCAAACAAAGCGCAATTCATCCCTCTATTATTCTCTCCACATTATTTCCTCGAAGGCATCTCTAGGTTTTCACATCTCACTTTCCTTCCATTCCTACCCCGGACTCTGCCCAACGGGCTCATAAACAAGACACCAGTTGACCTCACCGAAGTGATCAGAAAGCTGATCCCGTAGCCAAGCGAAACCCTGGTGGAACGCCTTGGTGACGCTGCAGGAAGATGGCTCTGGAGTGCAGCGTGGTTGAAAACAATATCATTCGCCGGCATGCAGTACTCGACGGCGAAATCCCGCACCTCCCCGCAAACGCACAAGAATATACACGGCCTCTAGAGCGGGTGGGACTAGACAGCAGCCGGAGTTGGACTCACATCGAAGAAATACACGACTAGTCCATTGACTTCATTTCTTGCCGGTCGCGCACGCCAAAAGCCTCGCCTGAATTCGGAGGTAGTAAGCCTTTCGGGAACGCCTTTAGTGTCCCCGATGGAACCGCAAGTACTGTTAGAACGATAGGGGGGTTGCGATGATATAGGGCTGTTTTCAGTCACTCTAGAGGGGCTCCAGAGGCCGAGGTTCTGTTCAGGAAGGTAGTAACTAAGCCGGTCTTGCGGAATCAAATCTTCCATGGACGATCTTTTGCTCGTTCTGACAAGACTGCTCCATGGCTCGGCAACTGAAAATGGAAGATGACATCCGATTGATAACCTGTGAGCCTTCGAATGGTTGCCGGTTTTGCGCCTAGACAGAGGATTCCGCTTAGGAATGTGGAGAGAATAAGATGCTCTGTCAGTACCCGCAGCCTCTGTCGCCATATATACCCTCAAAATGAACGACATGGTTAAGAGTTCGTCTAGTATGTTCAGCTTGGGGCCAGTCGTGGCTTCCGCTTCCTTAGTCAAGATACACTGTTCCATTACACGCCACTTGAAAAAGAAATACAAGATGGAACTTAACCTTGACATCGCTGTGGACACAGTAAACTCACTGTCACAACTTCTGTATGATTGAATGCTAAAAAAAAAAGTCACGCATTGGCTTTTCTTCGAAGTCCTACTCAAAGGACTTCGAATACTAACAGGCATTATTAGGTGATCGTGAAAATAATATCTTAGGTTTTCATTCTATATATTTACTGTTGAGAAAGTACATATTTAACAAATGGGCCACTTCTTGCTTCCACATGCATACAGTTGGCGTCGAACCCCTTGATTCCTTTACACGCATATAAATTGTTTTTCAAATCATACTGGTCTTTCCTAACAGGTTTCATCTCAACTGCGCTTCGCACAAATGCCCAAGCATCCACCTCCCTTATTCTCTCTCCCCACATTCCTCTCTTCTTCATATCTCTCTCATTTCGATATCTCACTTCAATTCTTTTCCGCTCGATCTTCCTTCAGTCTCGCCTTTTCTCAACCTACTCTGATTCATTTTATTCATCATACCCTATCATTATTCATAATTACCAAGGCTCAATCAAGCCCTCGGCTCCATTCTTTGGGTACGATCTGCGGGCATTTAATGTAAATTTATTTTGAGGCATGACTAACTGTTACACAGAAATGCCTTCCCAGGAATCGTCCCACAACACGGTCAATAATGACTCAAAGGCCACAACAAATGGGCCTAAGCCTGTAGAGGACCATGACCAACGGGTTCACCAAAGAGACGCACTGCTAGCGCTCAATGAGGTGATTAGAAAGCTCATAATGGAGCGAAGCGTCATCGAGAATGACATAATTCACCAGCGTGCCGTCCTCAGCGAACAAATGACACGCCTCTCTGCCACTGATGAGAACATCCAGACTCTTCAGAAGGTGTGGGAAGATATGACAGCTGGGTTTGGAAACCAGTCCCACAAATAAACGAGTATCCTGTGAGGACTCCCTCTCTTGTATTCATTTTGGATACTAACAATTCTATTCTGGTGAATATAGAGTACCCTCCAACCTCTCTCTGTGTAGAAGGATCCTCGCCATATGTGTTTAAATGGCGCAAGCACGCGCAGAGCTAAGAGCCCAGCAATTCAATATTGTGCCTTCTTTTCATTTTCCTCCGTAGCCCGTAACGTCCACAGTTGTTTGCTCTACTTGCATGTTTGCCTTATATTTTAGGACTCTCTTCCGGCTCTTAGCTCTGCGCTATTCATAGGTTACCTCCACTTCCTTGTCCTTCCAAGGCATTGCCCTCCTACCTAGTCACCGACCAGTAAAAGACCGCGACTGTCGCAGACCCACCTACGTATTACATACTTCCTCTCCTACCATCGCACTTGCCCAGTATGATCCTCGCATCAACTCGATACTCTCTCTGTCAAGCCGTACCACACTACCTCGTATTCCAGTGCTGTCTCCCAAGGGCCATTGATTCATAATTAAGCTAGAAGCGACAAGTTCCTAGAACACAGGAAACCAATGCATTGTGACGTGGGCCCTGAACGACTGTGTTGTAGGAAAACTCCTGCATGGCTGCTTCGGAGGCGCAGACACCCCAACTAAACTGGGCCGCAATGCGGTCAGAAAGCTTTACGACTTGATCCCCACCCACGATATGACCCCCTCCTTGCTTGCCTTATGGCAAAGATCAATGAGCCATTCTTCGCTAGCTGTTGCAATATCCCAGGACATGATCACAAAATAGTGATTGTGAGAATTAATATTACAAAAGTGAAGCCTACGGAGTTAATAGACGGTCAAAGGGTGCATCGTTCACAGTGGCGGTCGGGGAATCTTTTTCCCGTATTTTTAATGCTTCAGCTACTGCAGTCAACGCCAGCTTTATGCACCTCACCAGCCGCCGGGCTTCCTTAATAGTACGGAGACAAGTTCGATTTACCAGACGGGGCGGGAAGGCTTGGCTGTCTTGGCAAGCTTGGCACGGGTGCGCTCTTCAATCGGGTTCGTTCTGAGATTTGGATTTACAGCCTAGTGAGCCAATGGATTAATGGGGAAAGGCCGACTGTTGTCCAGTCGATTATATCTAGTTTGCATGTGTCAATTATTCATGTACTCACACAGGTTTGGGATTGGTTAATATGGAAAAAGCCCACCCTAGTGCCTGGACACAAATATCTTTGTCGAGCCAAGCATTACCCACAAAACCTTATATACTACTATGACACTCTCCATTAGATATAATGGAATTGTATTGCTTTATCGTCGCCGCACTCTACCATCTGGGTTTTTGGGGCTTCCCACACATCCTCCCAAGTCTACGACTAAAACAGTAAAAGGAAAAGGGGTTACATATAGGGTAGTCCACCAGTCTGATTAAACGAATACCCCTGCAGCGACATTCCTCTCTAACAGCAGCTTGACAACGATCGTCCCTAATGACCCTCCCTCAAAACCTTCAACTCTCCAGCTCCGCGAGGAAGAAAATCCCCAAGCGCATTCTACTTAGCTCCAGCCCGAACCAAATCTCCAAACCTCGTCTCCGTCTGTCCAGCCAGCACCACAGGATTCCCAACCTCAACAATCTCCCCCTTATCCATGACAACAACCCTATCAAAGTCCATGATCATGTCCAACCGATGACTGACTGATATGGTCGTGTAGTCCTTAAACTCCACCCTGATAATCTCCTGCATAACACGTTCCGTCTCGTGGTCAACACTCGAGCTCACCTCGTCCAATAACAATATACCGCAGTCCGAGCCATTCCGCGCCCGGATAAAACGTCTCAGTAGCGCACGTCCAAGCGACATGAGTTGCCGTTGTCCCGCGCTAAGTGTCCCCGCGCTCATGCCTGCGTCCAGCCCACCACGCTCTTGAACAAACTTCCACAGTTCCACGGCAACAAGCACAGCTTGGCATTCCTCGGGAGTTGAAACATTAGAAGGATCCAGGTTAGCTCGGAAGGTGGATCCATCGGGCAGGAATACGGCTTCCTGGGGTACTGCGATGATTTGCTCACGGAGGGCAGCCCGGTTTATGCGGTGGAGCGGCATGTTATCGATGATTGCGTTTCCAGCTGTATCCGGGGTAGGATTGAGGAGTTTAAGAAGTAGGGCGATGAGACTGGACTTGCCGCTGCCGGTACGACCGCAGATTGCAACTCTCTCGGCTGTCTTGATAGTGAGGTTGATATTGCGGAGGGCTAAGTTGGACGTGCTGTCGGGTTGATCTTCTGCACTGCTCGGTACATTAGTATGTCATGTAGTGGGCATAGCCTCTGTGAGGATATATCTCTTTTACTTACCCGTAACTCGCGGATACGCCCTTTAATTCTACTACACCGTTCTGTGGCCACTGGACAGGAGGAACAATGTCCTCTTCATCTCTATCCTCGGGCTTGACGTTTTCTGTGAACATCTTGAGACGAGCGATCGCTCCAATGGAAGTCTCTAACTTGGTGTAGAATATGACAATGCCTGAAATGCTCTCCCCGAAGCTCATGAGGGAGAACAAAGAGGCACCGGCGAATCCAGAACTGGAGTGGAGCCGAACGGCGAGAGTCGTCATGACCACTGCAAGCACCATGACTACAATATCGAGGACGAGGGTCAACCACTGTTGAATCATGAGGAGAAGATACGCGGGTCGTTGACTGGCATCAATTAAGCGAGTATTCTTGTCGATATCGCCAGGAATGAAACCTGTGTATCTGTAGTGTCAGCGACGCCATTTCATAATCCGTGGTTTTCCAAATCGCCTTATTAAATTCGGTCTCAGTTTTGGGTTTCATTTCGCATCTCACTCACCAAAAGCTCTCAGGGTTGTAATTCCCTTGATAGTGTCAAGAAAATGTGTGCTGCATAAACGTAGATTAGTTTAAAGAATAAAGCACACCCGGTATATGGTAGTAATCAGTGATCGACTTACTACAAAGGACTTTTGGCCTCAAGGTCTAACAACCTCAGCTGCCTGGACGTTCGAAGGTAAAACATTTGTAAGACCCACAATAGGCCGACGAGGAATGGGTAGCTTATGGCCAAGTACACGGAAGATGTAAGCATGACTGCCGCTTGTCCGAGTGATTGAAAGATCTGTAATCTGTGTTAGACTATTATATGGACTCTGATGCCTTCCTCAATGGTAGTAGCAGCCACCGCTGGGTTTCAACTGGCATGCAACTGTAATAAACTCACGGAAAAGACAGTGTTCAATGTTGCACTTGGTAGCTCTGTGTCAATAAGATTTAGATCTTGCGAGAACAGATTTGTGACAACACCAGTATCCGTATTGGTGAAAAAGGATAGCGGTGCTTGAACAAGTGTCTGTAAGGCATCCTGGTGGAGACTAGCACCTGCCCTCTCCACAGAGACAATTAAAATGGAAATTCCGAAGAGAAGCAGCGAGATCAAGGCACAGATTTGAAGCAAAGCATATATCCCTGCGTAGTAAGAGTAAGGGTGCGTTGGATGTTCTGAGGACATGTCATCGGTCCAGTATGTAAGCCCTGTAATATTTTGAATTAGTAATAAAGCTTCGGATTTCAAGGCAGGCCACATTTCTCTTGGCTTAAAACCCACGATATTCGTGAATCCACTATCTAAAGGCAGGCAACTCACAAACTGTTGGAAAATTCGTGAAGAAACCGAAACAAATAGCGAAAATCAAGCTGAATCCTGCCAGAATCCATCCCATACTCTTGAAATAATGCTTGTATACCGTCTTGTCACCAATCTGCCGTGATATATCAGCGTCCTGTGCAGTAGACGATGTATTAGTCATTGCAGGATGAAGCATTTCCGGCTTTGATTCCTGCGGAGTTTTATTTGAAGTCGCTTTTTCGGCAGAGGCAGCGTTATCTGAAGTGCCCTTCAATCCCAAGCTTTGAACATATCCTTGAGTAGCCATCAGCTTGTCAAAGCTACCTTGCTCAATAATAGTGCCGTTGCCGAGTGCTATTATATGATCCGCCGCGCGGAGATGCCTGATACTGTGGGTGCACAACACAACCGTAGACCCCCGTTTCTTGAGCAGACCATCGGGCCCAAATACCTGCCGGAAGACGTTCTCCTCAGTGTCCGCATCGAGACCGCTAAAGATATCGTCTAGTACCAGAAGATCAGAGCGCAAATATAGGGCTCGCGCAAGGGAAACTCGTTGTTTCTGGCCTCCCGATAGCACGATTCCATCCGAGCCGACATTCGTTTTATCCCCCTGCGGTAGTGTGGCAAGATCAAAGTCCAGGGAGGTAGCCTTAATGACTTCGGCGTACCTCTCATTATTGTGTGGAGAGAATCCCACAATATTGTCTTTGATCGACCCGTTTGAGAGGAATGCTGTTTGGTCGCAAAATCCAACATGTGGAAACCTGGTACCTAAAACCACGCTACCTTCGCTGAAAGGGATTTCTCCAAGCAGTGCCTTACATAGCGTGGTCTTCCCAGAACCAACAGGACCGACAACAATTGTTAGTGAGGACTTCGGTACTCGAGTACTAACATCCCTCAAAACGAACTTGTCTGCTTCCCAACCAAAATTCCCGCTCTTGATAACAAGGGGATCCAGGGAGTCCGGTTTAGAATTAGATAAGGCTTCGGTATCGGCTCGGGGCTTTTCGGCATTTCGACTTATATCCTCAAGAACTTGGCGAAAGTCATGGCGAGTCTCGCACTCCAAGAAGGCCTGGATTCGACCTAAACACGCCAACCCGGAGACAAGTTGGGGGATAGATTGAAAGACCTGTGACAATGGGTTGGTCAAGAGCGTAAGGAAAGAAAGACTAGTAAACATCGTCGAGACATCGATTGTTCTTTGGGTAAATGCGAATGTTAATGGCGGGCTAATCAATAGCGGAATGAAACCAAAAAGTGCCGCAACGATGAGTATTTTGCGGAATCGGGATCCAGCCGCTAGCTCTTGCACACGGAGATTCTGCACAAAATCGCCTATGGTAATCGAGAGGCCAGAGATCTTCAAGTTCTTCATACTAGCAATGACTGTGGCCGTTAAGCCCACTCGTTTCTGGACGCCTGCCATCCAGGACCTCTGGGAATCTCCCGTGAAATTTAGTAGGATCCCTAAGCCGATAAAACAGACTATAACAACTCCCACTGGTACGACGAACGGTATACCAATTCGGGTATATAGCATCCACCCGGCAATAGCTGCTTGAACTATGCTCGCCCAAGTCTCATGCAGATTTCTCAAGCCCGTGTCGATTCGCTCCATGTCTGTGCTCATCAAGGTTACCGCAGCGCTGTCATCTCCAGTTCCGATACGAGCTTCTGTGGCTTTGATGAAAATCTCAGTAGCTAGTATTGACTTGGACATAGTACGCATTCGGTGGTGGAAGTACCTATGCATATTCATTAGTCGTGAACCTTCTAAGGTTGCTAGTAGTTGTCTGAGATGTCACCATACCAGTAAAATCCCGTCGATATAGCAAGTCCGGAGTAGATAAGTAAGCTAGCGCCGATAAATCCGTATCCGACGTTCGCATCGAGTTCTGTCTTGGATAGGTAATCCAACAGCTTTTCAAGAAAAAGTGGTTGACAAAATGTGAAGCAAAGAAGTGCCAGACGTGGAGGTATGGGAAGTAAAAGAGGAACTTTCAATGTGCGGATGAGCACCTTCAACAGACCAAATTTGTCACCCTTCAACTTAGAGTAATCCATGTTCTTCAGAAACTTATCGTGAAGTGGTCTAGCGTTGAAGGAGCTATCCAGAGGGTAAAGGTCTCCAATTGTCATGACTTTGCCGTAGCCAACCAGGAACATCTTGTTAAGCCAGAAAAACACCCCTAAAGAAAAGATGCCACTCGTCTCCTCAGGACTATGCTCCTTCTCGTCCCAGCCCACCCATCTAGACTTTTGCTGGGCTTCTAATAGTAATATCCCGGTCTTCAGAGCTATAGCAGTGACGAAGATGCTGCTATAAGTGAGTTCAGGCTTGTCATCTGATGAAAGAAACAGCGTTCTTGCCTGAGCCACGTCTAGAAAAAGAGTCAAGAACAAGTAGCTGCTCAGCAGTACAGACGGCCTTGGGCTTTTGCTGTGATCAACAACACTCAGTGTGATCATGAGGAGGGCGGAGACAAGGTTGAGGACCGAGGAAGCTATGAAGATTTTGGTCACATGGAAGGACCCAGTTGCAACTAAGACGAGGAGTGAAAGTTCAAGTCCAACATAGGTTGTGATAGCACCCTGCACCAAGTTGATTAGCACGTTGATAGTTTACATCAGAAAAGGAGCATACCAATTTGATCAATTGGAAAACCGGCGCATTCACTACGTTGGGCTTCCGTGCCTGGTAAAGTGTCCGCCATAATGATGTTACGATGAACAAAGTGGATGGAATTATGGAGAAGAATAATTGTTCGAACTGGATGTTGAAGTCAAAACTCCCTTGGTTCAGCCGAAGCAGGTTCTCTTCTCCGGTGGTGAAGGGCATTGTAAACGCCCAAACGGGTTGGATGCTTTCAATGTAAGCTTTCTTCGCTGCCGCACCAAACCGTGTCTCTGTTCTGTCTAGAGAATATGTCGCAACTGAGCCAACCACACCATAAAAGATGAAAGATGGGAGAGTGAGACCCTTAGTCCAAGTAAGCCAGGTAACAACGAAAGCTGAACTTGTGAATGTCAGGTGACATGACGCTTATCACTAATATATCAGTAGCTCCGAGCTCCGAGACGGATGTTACCCTGTAAATGAGGCTAAATCGAACTCGGTAATATCGGGATTACCACCCCTGTCAGTTAATGGCCCGGAGCCAATAAGCAGCCGTTCAGGTATCAATTTATACTAGCGCACGTCAGCCAGATGTGTCATCTCGCAATACCGATGAACTGTCTCAGGTATTAAATTAGTTACCCCGGTTATGAGTCACTTCGAAAAGAACGTGCCAGTCGCAGAGCCTCTTGACCATTAACGCACATTTAGAGCAATATACTGTGCTCTACCAACCCATCTTTGTCCATTATGCATGCCGTTTGATGCATTTTCTGCTCGTGGGTCATTTTCTTCATGTCCCTGGAGGCTTCGGCCCGGCCATGGACAGGTGAAAAGTTTTTGAGCCAAGGGTTCAAACTCACGGGATGTTTTACAAATATGGAAATCAGGTCAGGATCCATATCAACGCTCTGTGTAACTGCCGGGAAAGAATAGATGATAATTGGTATGTGTGACTGGTTCGCAACCTTGTAGATATTAGCTGGGAATCACTCCAGATTCCTAGACAGGCGCGTGAACATTACCCAAGCTATAGAAATTTCCGATCACCATGGGGGTACTCGCAGCCACCCAATAGCTTGGTAGAAAAGCCAGTACATACTATCCTCTATGGCTTTTAATCGTCCCGCTTTGGAACGGAGCACGATGTGGTCGCATTAGAGCCATGGATGCGTTCGCCCTTAATAAGTTTCACCTACCTGTCAGCAAGCGAGGCGACCGTTGGCTTAAAGCCTGAGGGCTCCCTTTTCGTTGGCCAATTGGGTGCTACTCATTTCTACCTGGTTGCTCTTGTACCTAGAACCCGCGAAGGCCTTGCTGTTCCCTTTCAACATCCCGAAGAGCTTTGATCTCCATCGCCACCATCATGACACTGTGGCAGCCTAATTCGATTAAAAAGACTTTTTCGCAAAATCCACATCATCAAAAGAATAAATCGAGGGGCAAAAGAAGAAAGAGATACCATTTGGGAGTCTGTCGGGGAACATGGCAGAGCTGGTCAGCATTATCTACGCTGTCGGTACAGTGTTCAAGCTCAGCCATTAGGTTTCAAGGACGAAACATAGTGGAACAAGGGCCGCAACGATCCTCTGCGACAGCAGATCGGCTTTCCAAGCAATCCAGAACCGGGCAAACAATTTAGGACAACTCATCACCCACACAATCCTCAGGCAGCCAGAGAGGTCCAGGCAAAGGGAATCACTCTTCGTCTCCAATGGATATCAAAACACTGCGATAACCCAGCAAACGACACAGCAGATCGGCTGGCCAATGACTGGCTATCACTGACCCAAACACCCGATTTTGGAATCAATGTGGCGAATCCCCAAGATGCTTTATTCTGGTCAGTTCGTATTCAACTTTTAAGGTCATCAGATGACTGACATCATTATGATCCCATTCATATATATATGTTTTACTGAGGCTTAATTAAATAACTCTCGTTCGGACGTACTTTAATATTCAAACTTCATACTCTTCCATCAATCACCATGGAATTAGCCATTGTGAAACGATATTTCGTCAGATCTTCTACCCCCTACATCCCTAGACTAGCTCGAGCTGTGCATGGAAATGCCCAGCCTGCTGAGAATAAGGATGACAAGAAATGTACGACTTCTATTCCTATTTTGATGACCTCGAAGGCAGCTAGAATAAAAAAATGATCTCAGTTAATGTCGGTGCGACTTTCCCCGATGACTTTGAGGACTCACCTTTGAAGTCCGAAATTCTCCAGAAACGAAATCCAAACCCGGGGGTTGATGAGTCTTATCACCCCGTTAGTATATCCCTGGACATTAGCATAGCTTTACGCTACTGACAATTTGTCTGCCAGACAATGGAAGATATCTACGAAAGTATCCGAGGAAAACCGGCCACTGAAGGCACGAAGGCAGCTAAACCTGCTCAGGAGGAGCGGGAGCCTGAGTTGGATGAAATGTGATTTTTCTCCTCTGCGTTCAATAATTTGGATATGATTCACGAGTAACTTGAAGCGCGTATGTGTTTTCTTTTTGTTAATTATCCTGATTCATTGAATCAATCCTTACTCTACATTAATTCATGAAAAGTCTAGCTCCACCAGATGTTCTTCCTAGTATAGTGGATTACGGTTTCTATACATAAATAGATGGCTGAATGTTCAAGACCCATCAATCCAGAAAGAAGAAACCGAGAAAATGAAGATGCCCATTAAACTATATCCCCAGGAGCCTTTGTCAATCTTTAATGTAATATTGCCTCGCTATCTCTAGAAATTTTCACCCCTCCAAGAATGCCGAAGTCCGGATGCTCAGCATTTTGACCAGATCTTTCTTACATTTTGTAGCCTCAAGGAGCTATACTCCCTTCGATTGGTTTTGAATCGCCACCCAATTACCCAGGCTCCCCGAACTCGTCGTGTCGGATGAACCTTCATAGATTGCTCGTTTTTATAGTAAAAAAACGCGCGATTATCGCAAGGCTGACTTAGTATGCCCCATGGAAATGGGTCATCGAGGGATTCAATACACAGTCATATTCACCTGAGGGGCGATGCGGTGATCTGCACTGTGCAGCCTCAACTGAAGTTTTCGTAATCTCTACTAAATGCTAGTAGGTAGACCCATCAAACACTAAGGTCACTTGTCAAGCAACTAATTCTCGGTGTCAATTTTGATATCAGTAAAATACATCTTCATCCTCACATCCACTCAAGGTTTCCTACTCCATATCAATTGCAATCAGAAGGACGAAATGACCAATCCTCCCCCATCAATATCCATCACACTCGCTATCACACCGCCCAGGTTCCCCCTCAGTCCCAGCCAGCCACCGACAATCACCTTAACAGCAGTTTCACATTACCATGAGCCAATCACAATATTCACTCAATCCATAATATTCAACCTCGGTCTGAGCCAGCGTCGCAGTAATTTCGTCTGTCGCGATATCACGACAGCAGATATCAAACCACTGCGCCTAAACTTCTCCAAAGGCGGAAAGCGCCCAGCCTTCAGTCGTGAGTCGGGTGGGTCTGATGATCGCTTTTTCGTTACATTAGAGCCCGACACACCTACTGAGTTCCAGGGGGCGTTTCGCCGGTCAAATGGATTAAGAGATCAAAGTTCGCTCGAAGTTGGACATCGATATTGGTTTGGGATAAAGGAGGATCAGGTAGTGGCCTGGTGGCGGGTTGGAAGGAAGGCGGAGGTGATGGCTCCCCCAGGTGAACGGGCTTCGCTGGGGGAGGCAAGCGGGTGGGATATTGCTGTAAAGGTAGAGGGGGTAGAATTTGAGGTGACATAACCATGTTCTTTTTATTATATAACAAAGAATTCTACAATTCGAGAACACAGAATAGGCCAATCACCCTTAAGTGTGTATCATCGTCATCCCCGGCATCCAGATGCAGGGTATATCTATGGACAAAGTGAAAAGTAACCATATCGATGAGCATACTGAACGATTTGCCACTTTTTTATCCAATCCGTTTTGTCTCTATTCATCGAGGTTTTATGGGTTCTTACTAGCTCTATACCAGGGAACCTCTGTGTTTCACATGTGACATAAATATCGGAACGAATAAGCTCCGTGAGGGCAAATAGAGGTCGTTGCCACGCCCAGGGTTTAGTGTCTTCAAACAATCCATTTATGGTAGCCTATTTACCATTAATTAGCGTCGTTGTATAATATTTCATATGTAAGCTGCTATAGTCATTAGTTTATTGGATCCATGGATGTACTGAGTAGCCGCGTTTCTGCAAACCCGCCAAACATATGAATCTTGGAAGCCAATCCAATCAGAGGGCTTGGATAATTTCAGTTACACAGACAGGCCGCCTTGTATTTCGTAGATGCAGACTGCGTGAATATGCACGTACACCCCGCCTCACCCCTCCTATATGCAGACGACTGACCTATCGTAGAGTGAGAGATCCTCGATCAAGTACACACGTCCTGCAATGCTACATTCGTAAAATACAGAGACCAATCAATAGTTAATATTCATATTGCAGGTATCTGTGTCAAAACAAACCCCTCTTTAGCGCTTTAAAAGGCCATCCTTCCAGCACCCCCCCTTGATCTTTTGAATTTTTATCTTTAATATCAACATCAGCATGTTGTCAAAATTGTAGTTGGGTCTTCTCATTTCCTTTGGGCTTTGGATTGTTACAACCCTTCGCGGCCGCAAAAAATATCCCCTTCCTCTTCCTCCTGGTCCGAAACAGAGGCCCATAATTGGAAATCTGAAGGACCTTCCGACGCCAGATCAACAAGATTGGATGCACTGGCTGAAACATAAGGAGTTATATGGTAAAAGAGAATTCCTGCGTAATATGTAACGTGGGATGTTGACCGTTGCCAAATTAGGTCCCATTAGCTCACTTACTGTGCTGGACAAACATGTCATTATCCTTAACGATGCCAATTTGGCGGTGCAACTACTAGAAAAGCGTTCTTCTATACACTCAGGACGTCCAGAAAACATGTTTACTGACATGTAAGTGAGAGCATTGCTTGCGTGATACCAGGGTAACTGATATCGCCAGGTCGGGTTGGCAATATGTTCTTGGAGCGCTCAGAAACCCAGACCATGTAAGAAAAACACGAAAGCACTTGTATCAAGAGATAGGTTCAAAGAATTCCGTTTCTCGTTTCAACAATGTTCAGACAGCCGAGGTTGGTCGTTTCCTGTTAAGGGTATTGGATGAGCCAGACAAACTTCATCAGCACATACGGAAGTGAGTCAATTCCTCTATTGGACATATTTTATTACACAAATTCTAATTTCAATAGGGACGCTGGAGCTATCGTCTTGAAGATTGGGTACGGGTATACTATTGAACCTCATGCTCAAGACCCTCTTGTAGACCTGGCCGACAAGGCGATGGAGGACTTCTCATACGCCTTGCTTCCAGCAACTTGGGCAGTGGAGTTTCTTCCAATAAGTAAGTAGTGATTGACGATTTACATCGATACACTGAATTATGAAATATCATCTGACTCTCCGGCTAGTGAGATATCTCCCAGCCTGGCTGCCTGGGGCGGGATTCGTGAAGATCGCTCAAGGCTACAAGTCAAGAGCACAGTCGTTCAGTGACGTTCCATATGCATTTACCAAGCAAGAAATGAGTAATGGTCGCTTCGTGCCATCTTTCTTGTCCAATCTTCTTCAAAACAATCCTGTGGAGCCCGGGACTGAAGAAGAAGACATCATCAAGTGGTCAGCTGGATCTTTATACGCAGGAGGCGCAGATACAGTAAGAGAAAATCCGGACTGTACGCATTATATTTGACTGACAAAAAGTAGACTGTCTCCTCTATTGCAAGTTTCTTCCTCGCAATGGCTCTTTTTCCGGAGGCGCAACGCAAGGCTCAGCAGGAACTCGACACAGTAATTGGGAGCGGTCGACTACCTGAATTCCAAGATCGAGAAAATCTTCCATATATGGATGCACTAGTCAAGGAGGTTCTCCGATGGCATCCAGTTGTACCCATGAGTGTTACACACACGTCAACTCAGGACGATACATGCGAGGGGTACTTCATCCCCAAGGGATCGTCTATTCTTGCAAACATCTGGTGAGTTGTTCCTTTCCATTGCAGGATACAGTAGTTTCTGATACAGTTTTCAATATTCTAGGGCATTTACGCACGATCCAACGGTATATCGTGACCCAATGACCTTCAGCCCGGAGCGCTTTTTGACCTCCCCCGACGGAAAACTCCCAGAGCGCGATCCACACATGCTTGTGTTTGGGTTTGGTCGTCGCGCCTGTCCTGGGCGTACTCTGGCAGACGCGAACGTCTTTCTCACTGTTTCACAGGCTCTGGCTGTCTTCAGTATCTCGAAACCAGTACAAAATGGGGTTACTCAGGATATCCCACTAAAGTTTCTCCCCGGGGTCATTAGCCATCCCGCTCCATTCAAGGTGTCAATCCAGCCGCGAAGCGCGGTTCATGAACAACTCATCCGAGACCTCGAACGGCACTATCCTTGGGAGAAGAGTGATTCCGAATTCCTCCCAGGCAAGTAGATGAGAATCCGTGTGTATCCTCGAGTGAACTCATCTACTTACGTGGGTGCGAGAACCCCTCGATTAACTACAGCTTCGTTGTCTTCCTCATCCCTAGTCCACCCATGGAATCTATGCCATCGATTAGGACTATATCACGTCGCATTCGGTTACAATGAGTCCAACATCTAATATTATCGAACTTCCTTCTCATATCGCAAAGCTGTCGTGTTTACTTATCTATGTCCAGCCACTCACGAGATGGTCATCGAAAGTCTCATCAGCTTTCATGACCGACCTATGAAACGGGCGTTTCTGGGGAAATGAGGTTGTCATAATCTGTGCTTTGGGCCACACACATTTTAACTGCGGCTTCCAGGACTTGAAGGCCGGGGAAATAGTGACATCAAACCAAAGAGGTTATTACTTTTCTCGGTCTGAAGGATTTGACTGTGAAAGGACTATTGGTATCTACAGTTTGAGCGGCAACGGAATTCACCTGAATTATGTTTTATATCAATTGTTCTAAACTGAGAGATTTGGTCATGCATCCTGGTTTGCTAGTAAATTTTCACTGGGAGGCGACGTTCTTCGATCAAACTAAGTCGGAGCTCATTTAGTGTCGAATAAATCGCAGGATCTCCCAGTTTGATAGCATGGTAAAACTTCCTATAGCCTTCTTGCAGCTTGTTTTCGTCCAAGATATCCGTACCATCAACATACTCCAGCATATAGCTCAGAATAGCCAACCAATAACTCTCGCAAATAGAGTCCCGGTCACGGCAAAGTAACAGAATCAGAGCCTCACAATAACTCATAGCACAGGGAATCTTCACAGCACAAGGATGTGACAAGAAACGCCCTCGGCCACGGCCTAGAGATGCTGACGGGAGTCGGTCATCCGAGGCAAGCATGATATCTGGGTTTTCATCAGGCAACAAGTCAAGGTCTTCAAACTCCCATAGGACATCAGATTTTTGATAAAGCGAGACTGCAAGCTCATCATTAATATGTAGGTGCCTAAATATTGTGGGGACTCCGAAAGTACCAGAGTGCGGGCAGCCCGAGCTTTCGTTGCAAGGTAGAAACCCAGCGTTCATAAGTGAAGAGAACACGGCCTGGGCGAGATCATCTGGAACAACGAAAGCGGCTTCCTATTGAAACACTAGCGGGTGCTCTAGTCAATCAAGATAATGCTGACATCCACAATCGTGGGCACTCCATAAACAGTGAGCAGATAGTTGCCCCAAAGGAGGTTTGGAACACCTATTGAGTCAAGAAGAGTAGAAATGGACCAGACAAGGTCATTGTCCAATTTCTGTTGCGTGAAGTGGAAATCGGCCATCCTCTCCATGAATGTGTGAGGGTTAGGTATTAGGTGTCTGGCTTCTCTTCACTTTAACAAAGAGATGTACGCGACCGGCGACATAGGTCAGTCACATAATATTTCTACTTGGAACTTGACATGCATTCGCTTCATTCTTGGCGGTTTGAAGTTCGGGCATCAACAACCTCACTTTGGAATCCTGATCTCCACGCCATCCTATTGCAGAGTTGTTTCGCATATATCAATATTAAGCATGAGCAAGCATGAGCAAACAGTAGCTCAGTTCCAGATATAGAAGTCTAATCCCCTTCTCTAATCTACTTTGTTTCTCATTTTCTCTTCTCATAAGTTAAATAGCCATCATATGGAAATCAACAGAGGCTAAATTATCACAGATTCCTAGTTCCATATAGTATCCATGTTCTACCTCAACAACAAGGCGGATAGATAGATAATCCCATATATCACACCATTGTTTCGGGACCATTATTCTTAGAGACTAATTAAACCATCTCCGCTTTGTTTACTACCTTTTTGTTTTGATCTAAAAGAGGATCTCATGAATCATCTTAGCCATATCCTTTGTTGCTCTCTTTTGTCGATGTCAAATACAATAAACAATGCATTTTCAAAGCTCGAGGCTCAAAGCTGCGTTCTAAATTAACACTGCCTCGGTCACAAAGAGCGCGTCAAGTATTTAATATTCGATGAAATCCATTCCAGCTCTCATTCCATATTCACAGCAACTATTCAATCAATCCAACGATCCAATAAGTCCAACGATCCAACAACCAACACAATTCAACTCTATATTACTTTTCATCGTTACCCTTCAACATGGTCAATTACACTTCTGGTATAGGTCCACGGCCCGAAAGAGGTTTGTGGGATCAACTTGGTCTTTATGCGGACCTTCAGTCCAGAGCTACTGTTATGGCCGCTATTCGAAGAGTTCACGACAGCGAGCAAACTACACATATCCTTGGTGGTAAGATGGCTAAGCACCTTCTTCACTCGACCTTGCGTAAAGCAAACATAGAGGCTGGTTTCGTCGCTGAAATACCCAATCTACCAGCATCTATCCAAGGCCGTCCTCAAGCTGACCTTGTTGAGTGTATGATGGATCTTTGTCGTTACTACCGGGCATATGATCCCACTAGATGGGGACTCCCTGCACCGCTCAAGGCTGGATGGCAACCACCGCCTCCACCTCCGGCTCCGGCTCCAGCACCCGCCCCGGCAAAGGCCCCGGCAAAGGCACCTGCTCCAGCACCAGTTCCAGCTCCAGTTCCAGCTCCAGTTCCAGCTCCAGTTCCAGCTCCAGTTCCAGCTCAAGCCCCTGTACCTGCACCGGAAGCATCACGTAAACGAGGACGAGATGACGCAGATGACGACGATTCTAAACTTCCAGTTCATAAGAAGCTAGCATTTGGGGAGATGCCAGAGTATCCAGACTTGCCAGATCCTGCCAGTTTATATGTCCAAGGGCAAGAGGCTATTCTAGGAATGAGAGCGCCGCGGGATGATGATGATGATGATGATGATGATGATGATGATGATGATGATGATGAAATGGAAGAAGTGTATGGATCAATAGAATACGACGAAACGGGAGAGGTTTATGAATCAATAGAATATGACGAAGCGGGAGAGGCTTATGACTCCGCAGAAGATGATGAAATGGGAGAAGTATCTGACTCGGAAGAAGAGGAACTTTAGATATAAGTCGACGATAAGTAGGAGAGGGAGAAGGGTAGAGAATACTGGGCTTGTTCCCAGAGGCCTACGGTTTAGTTTGTCCTTTTTTGCCTAGTCAAACGTTTTGTATGCATATTGACAGTCTTTTAGAATTATATATGATAAAGATTTTGTTTTCTATATGTGGAGCACCAACTCCAATAGTTCGTCTGAAGATTATTGCACCTAAACGCGTAAATCACTATTAAACATAGAATATAGAATATAGACGACGGGCTCATTAAAACCCCTAGAAATCAAGAGTTGATATACTAATAAGCAGTGGTTATAACCTATAGGTAAAGAAATGGTTATCAATAGTAATTTCTAAATTATAAGTAGCTACGGGTACCTTATCCGACCTCGGGACATTTTGACATCCTAATAATAACCTTGGAAGCCCCGCAGGATATTATTCACAGTGCTGATTGGAGAAACTCTTTTGCACTGTTCTTGGCTGTGATTGGCGGTGACATCTGGGTGCCTCCATTGGCCCGATATTTCAGGCACCATTCCAACCCGGTAGAGTTGGGCAGAATCTCGGCTTGGCCAATTTCATCCCTCTTCAATTATCGATTCACTCTACGCTTTTGCCTGACCAGTTGAACCAGGTAATTCGGACACTCAAGGCTGTTCCATCGATTACATATCGTTGGCTCATTGACCCATACGCTTCCATAGTGATTACGGGCAAAGTGTCACGCCTACCAATCTTTGCTCCCCACGTTTGGGCTCGATTAGGCAAGACATACACATATTGCTCCTTCCATAATAGCTCTTCGTACACCCAAGTCACGACAAAATTGGAAAACAACACACCAATCTCTATTTTTTCTATCATGGCTTCACCCACGACAGCCGTTGACAAGTTATTTGTCTGTCCCGGGTGTCAGAAAGGTGGCTTCAAAAGCATCATTGCTGTCAAGACTCATTTTGAGTCCAAAGGCCACAAACTCGCTTGCAGTCCATGCGACGAATCATTTGAAACTGTAACGGCGTTGTTCAAGCATTTTCGGAAGCATGAAAAGCCCTTAGATGGTTGTGATCTCAAGTCCCTCAAGTCGACAAAACCAGCGCCAAAGAGCACAAAGGAACAGAAGTTCCAGGATCTTTCTGAGCTCTTGCCTTCTAAACCTTCGAAATCAGCTCTAAAGTCCGTGAAATATAACAAGCTCCCGGATCTGTCCGAGTCTTTTGTCAAGCCTGCAAATCCATCGCCCAAGACCGCGAAGGATGACAGGTTACAGGATCGTTCCGAGCCCGTGCCTGTCAAGCCTACAAAATCCATTGCAAAGAAAACAAAGCTTGAGAAGTCCCAGGATCTTTCTGATTCCCTCCCTGTCAAACCTACAAAATCCATTGCAAAGAAGACAAAGCTTGAGAAGTCCCAGGATCTTTCTGATTCCCTCCCTGTCAAACCTACAAAATCCATTACAAAGAAAACAAAGCTCGAGGAATCCCAGGATCTGTTTGAGGCTTTGTCTGCCAAAACTGCGAAACCCAATCCAAAGAAAACAAAGCTTGAGGATTCCCAGGATCTTTCTGAGCCCGTGCCTGTCAAGCCTACAAAATCCATCGCAAAGAAAACAAAGCTTGATGAATACCAGGATCCGTTTGAGGCTTTGTCTGCCAAATCTGCGAAACTCAAAAAGAAAACAAAGATTGAGAAGTCCCTGGATCGCTCTGATACACTGCCTGCCAAGCCTGCAAAACCATCTCAAAAGTGCACATCAAACCAGGCACCAACACGTGCTCCATTGAGCACAGAGGCTTTTGAAGATCTATGGAACAAGACCTCTGAACTTGACACCCAGAATGCGTCATCACCTGCCACCCAAAACGCAAATTACCATGTTTCGCTCGAGCCGCTCGAGCAAAGCTTGATCTTTCGCTACTTGTCGGCACGATGTCACTCGGAAACCCGTCTCGCCACCCGAGGCTTCACCTTTCGGGCTGGCTTGGCAGATATCGGCAGACGCCCGTCGAAGAAGCCCCCTCCGAAAACAGGACATTTCCGCCAAGTTCCTCGCTCCGCAGACGGCTTGCCAAAAAGGAAAGCAATTGTCCTTGACTGTGAGATGGTGCAAGTCGAAGCAGGGCGTCGGGAGCTTGCTTATTTGAGCGCAATTGACTTTTTGACTGGCGAGGTTCTCATCGACAATTATGTGCAGCCGAAATCTAGAGTTGTGAATTGGGATTCTCGGTTCAGTGGGGTGACTCCTAGTGCCATGAACAAGGCTGTCAAAAAAGGCACAGCCTTGTTTGGCTGGGAAGGCGCGCGCTCGAAATTATGGGAGTTCATGGATAGCGAGACTGTCCTCATTGGTCATTCTCTTAACAATGATCTTGACGTCTTAGGTATTATCCACTGGAACGTTGTCGACTCCTCTATCATCACCAGTGAAGCGGTGTTTTACACTGTACATGCCGGTGAACCACTCAACCGCACATGGAGTCTGAAGACCCTTACCAATGAATTGGTCAATTATGACATCCAAGTCGGGAAGCAGGGCCACAGTGCGCTGGAGGATGCGCATGCGACACGGGATATTGTGATATGGTGTCTGCGATACCCGGAACACCTAAAGGTATGGGCGGACAATGCTCGGGACCAAGAGGAGCAGCGCGCGTATGAGAGGGAGTTGAAGAGGTCGACAGAGGAGGAGGTGAAGGAGCAGAAGAGAAAACATGATATGGAGATAAAGATCCAGATGTTGTCTCGTGGTGTGACTGGTTTGGATATCCATGACATTGGCCTATCTGATGATGATGCTAATGGCCCTGATTCTTCTTTTGTCGACCATGATGCTGGTGACGTTGAATACGAATCGGTAACTATTGAAGCGGCCGCAGCTTCATTCTTTTGATACTATCTGTTAATTATGATATTATATGACAATTCAATTATAAGTGTTTAGCCGTGCAATCATTAGGCTATTCGCTGTTGCTCTCCTTGTCTTATATTCGACAAGGGATATGCTCCTGCAAAGCAATACGACAGAAGTGAACTCTGTCCACAAAATAAACACCAGTCAAATTCACAAATCCCATGGCCTTAACAAAGCACAACTTCACAACCTAGAGGCACTGTTATACACAGTGACCACTGTCGTCATCGACACAGTTCGTGTCTCCCCGGCAATACTAAGAGAAGTCTGCCCCATTATCGAGTGACTCAGCCTAGTATTGAAAGTGACAAAACTAGGCTGGATGCTAGTCAAAACACCGAGGCGCTTCCCATCACTCGTCAGACCATCGTGTCTAAGAACAAGTCGAAGCATCCTCCCAATATCGACCGATGTATCACTTGGCCCAGCAAAGGTGACAATAGGGTCCTTTCGCTGCTCAAAAGCTTTCTCTAAGCCCAAATGCTGAACAAACACATGCTCATCATTGGGAATCTTATAAAAGCTCTCCTCGCTCGGTTTGACAACAATCTCAACTTTTGACAAGATACTCATCTTAACCGCAATAATATCAACCCGTTGTACAACATCCCAAATAGCACTACTACTCCCATCCCTCCGCGGTATAACCCTGATAACAAGCGGAATCGGCGACGAATCATCAAGCTGGATAGCAATCGGCACATTCATCACAACCTCAAAGCTGAATCCCGGAACAGAAGATACCCCAAGAATCTTCCGCGTCTTCTGCATCACGGATAAATCCACGCCCCGCATCGACGGAAGCAATCGCTGGCTGCGCACCCGGCTCGCGATACTACACTGCTGCAGCGCGAACCGGATCCCGCCCGCGTCTACAGTCGGAAAGCCCAACGTGATGGGTGCTGTCGCACGTTGGACACGCCACAAGCCATTTCGCATATACCGCAGCTGCGCCTGGAGATAGTACTCGATGTAGACCTTTGCTCCGGCCCATTTGGTGGAAAATGTCCCCGGTAACGGGTGCTGTGTGATGCAGTTTGCTTCTAGAGGGATGAAGCTCTCTTCTTGTTCGTGATTGTGGACTGCTGACGATGAAGTTGCTTCGGGGATATTAATTGAGAAAGGGATGTTGATCCAGTCGGTTGGAGTGCTGGGCGAGGGTATGTGTATAGGTCCACGTAACAAGGTTTGTGATGGAAGTTGGAAAAGTTTCCAGTTGCCGTAGGATGAGACTTTCGATGGATAGCCTTCTGTTATTAGGCGGGCTCTTGTGCGTCCGATCAATGTAAGTGAGATCTTGGCATCTGGGGTCACGATGTGCGAGTGCCGGTTCACGCTGCCGATTATAGTGTCCCCGGCGGCATATATCCATATTGGAGGGGCAGCAATGGATATATTGAGGTTAGGGCCTCCGGTTGTCTGGCTAGGATGCATGCTTCCATGGGAGTTGGAAGGGAGGTTCCTTGAATGAAATTTGGATAACCTTGGAAGAGATGTGTTTCTTACATAACTCAGGGGACAGGGAGAGCTAAAATATTAGTTAGCCAAATACGACCCCTAAGAGTCACAAAGAAGAAGTTGCAAATTGTGGAGATAATCTCTACAGGGGTAGTCCTACGGCGTAGACGGGTGGTTCAACAAAGGCAAGCAGGGATAGTGATGGGAAATTCCCATTCCGGTATGGGATACTACACAGTGATTTTAGGGGAGTAGATGTAAAGTCTTATTCAGTGAACGGTACATATCTCCACTGTTCGGTTTTTGCCAGCTCGTGTTGACCTCGACATCATTTGTGACTTCATATGTATACAAAGCCTATATCTCAGGCACATGGTCTTTCCAATATATTCTAGTCCTTGCCTGGCGGAACAAAAGAGCATACTTGAAGACGATAACCTCAGGCTTTGTCAAAAACCTATTCTAACAAGGGGGAAAGATATCAAAGTAGAATCTTAAATATAACATTCCTGGTATCATCTTGGGCCAACTAGATCAGATGATGACCTACGCCGTAAGGGCAGAGACCGCATGAACGACTGACTATTCTTGTATTACCTACATATATTGAAAGGCATGAGATAATCATCTGAAGTT